TCTCTGGTAGTCAAGGGGACGGGAGAGCCGAGTCTTGATCTCTGGTCGTCGTCGGATGAACCGGTCTGCCCATGCCACCCCGACCTTCAACCCTCCTCTCTTTGCAAGCAATAGATCCGCCATCCCTTCCAAATCTCCCTTTCGCACTGGAAACCCCTGCTCCTCCAGCCTCAGCACATACTCAATGACCACCCTCTCCTCGGTTGCTGTCAACTTGGCATGCGGACTATGCGTATCTGTGCGTGCTTTGACACCAGCCATTCTGCGCTGCAGTGTTGAGTTCGACACGTTGTACTGCCTTGCAGCCTCTCGGATAGACAATGCTGGATTGGCCTTCATAGCGGCAAGAGCCAAGAGCACTCGGTGCTCATTGGAGGAGGGAGGCATGGGTACAACGGAGATGCATGACGATCATGTATTACAGGGTCCGTGATGTGACCCACTCACTGCTGTGACCCGCTTACTGCTAAACTACGTTAGTACAATATGTTAGCATCAAAACGTCCCGCAATTACTCTCAATGTGAAGGTTTCAAATCTGCTTGACCCTATCAACATATCCATTGAATGGGATGCAACAGGCTATGATCTCAAGAACGCTATCGCGAGCAGGCTTCGGCTTCCCGTCATCGCTTTCACACTCCACTCCGTAAGTCTGACCTTCTCCCAACACTTTCATGACGAAACAGATTGACAGGTACGCTCCTTACCCTACATGTCGACTATAGAAGTCATCGAAGAGCGTGGCCTTCAGATTCTCCTTCTGTACCAGACGATTGCCGAACTTCTCCAGGCAGAGACAACAACTTTGCAAAGCGATTTCGACAATGGAGTTCTTCATTTTTATGTTCATATGGGTCAGCTGTCTGGTTTTACAACCTGTCGGACACCCGCTCACTGAGGACTGCTAATTCTTAGGTGCCTTTCCGACCAAGAGAAAGGCCGAGGACATCCTTGAGAGCGACCGGCGGAAGATGCCTCGCAACGGGCAAATTGTGGCTAGTGCGCTCACACCCCGACATCTCAGGTCGAAAAGTTCGCTGATTCTCTGTTTCTTCTTTCCCAGATGTCAAGGCTGTTAGGAAGCTGCTGAGAGCGTGCGGGCCGCCAAGCAAGGTGGCGGGTACATCGCTTAGCAAGCTAGACATGGAGTCACTGCAGGCAAGCAACCTCTTCTTGGACGGAGGGGAGCGGACTGGACTCCCAATCGGCATTTTTGCTCCAGTATTTCTGGAACTAAAAAAATCCCTCCGCGAAATGCCACTGCAATGGAGGCCGACAGCAGACATAGTGAACCATGTGGTCCAGTTCCTGTTAGCTCACGCAAGTTCTATCCGGTCGAAGATCGGCAAGGGAGTCAAGACCTTCGAATCGACAGATCCGACGAGATGATGAAATATCTCCCGCCCCTGTTGGGTAGTCTGACACGGGTTGTCAACGGAGACAAGACTGCACCGCGAATTGCTCGAGCTTTCTCTGATGAATCAGCATCACCCCCGATAATGTTGCTACAAATCGAAAACGAAATTCATACCTTATCTGCAGACCCCCATCCACAACTAGCGCTCACCGCTGGTAAGGCTTGGGCATCTGATGATGTGAGCATTTTCACCAGGTGGTTCTGCATTCCTCCTGACTCACTTCCCCGAGCAGGCTGAACAAGTTGCCCTGTGCAGCCCTTTCCCGATTATATTGCTCACCTTGGTTGGTCCTAGGCTGGACCTCCAGGGGATTGTCTTTGTAGAGCGCCCAATCATCGAAACGCTTGCAAATCCCCTCGCTTTGGACCGCCGAATATCTAGCGAATACGTTAAGGAGGTGGCATGGTGGATGCATTGCGTCAAGCGAGCTGGGGACAATCTGGACAAATACTACAGACAGCTGAAGAAAGGATTGGACATTTCTATCTCGCAGTATCTGCCGGCCATCACCCAAGTTGATCTGCGGAATCCGACCGCTGGGACCAAGTCAGCGACGATTGTGTACGAAGACTGGATTGAACCAGTTCGAGACTCGTGCCCGGAAGTACGGTTAAACAAGGCAGTCTTCTCAGCGACGCTTCAAATGGTCAACGACAGAGGTGCATACCAAGAGCAGGTTGTTGTCAAGTTCTGCGAAAGATACGGGGAAGATGTCCATAGCTTTGTCGCGGATCAGCCCGATTGCGCGCCAAAGCTTCTCGCCGTGAAGAAGCTTTCTCCCTCTCTCTGCATGGTCGTCATGGAGAAGGTTCCGGATCACAAGCAGCTACCCACTCTGGCATTTATCCCGGAACGACGGCGGAAAGAGATTGAGAACCAGCTGCTTTACATGCAGAGTAAGCTTGAGGAGCAGCATTTTGTCCACGGCGATTTGCGCTGTCCTAACATCTTGCTCACCCGCGAAGACAAGGTCAAAGTTGTGGACTTCGAATTTGCCAGAGAGGAAGGCTCAGTCTGCTATCCTTGCGATCTGAATATGAACGGAGCGATAGATTAGCCTACAGGGGTCGGCCCAGACTTGCCAGTGAAAACTAGACACGATGCAGCTATGCTGCAGCTCTTGCTTTCGTGCAGCTCAGCACCCCAAGCACGCCAACGATCCATCATAGTCGCGTCGTTTCCTATGGGCGTAAATGACTCTCCTGCCGTGGAATTGTTGTTCAGTTAAAGTAGTGACCAGTCGCGGACGATACTTGCGACGGTGACGATGTTTTGAAATCCAAGGCACTGTCGAGGATCAGGTGGTAGTGCTGTGAGTCCGGTGGTTGAACCTGCAAGATGACTTCCTTCACGAAATTGGCATCACCAGCTCCGGTAATGTCCGAGATGCTATAATGACATGCATGTGTAGATGTTCTTTTCTTGTAATCGAAACATACAATGACGTCATCATGAGTTACAGCGAAGATAAACCTTCCGCCGAGCGTGGCCCATTGGAGGCGAGGTCCTTCAAGCGGCACGTATGGGAGGGTATTCAAAAACCTTGTATACCCAGTTTACCCTCGACAATAGGAGCCTCTTCTCATCATCATCCATCAAATCCCATCCCGCTGAGTATTCGCCGCTGTAATTTTATATCTCAGCAGATGACGGTACAATCGATCTGATATCGGCATCGTCGTCAGGGCGCGGAACATTCGGCACGTCTGAAGGAATATTATCTAAGGGGTAGCAGACCTCGGGGATGACGCTGACCTGAGATAAGCGCAGAAGATCGCTATCAGCAAGTAGCTCCCATATTGACCACCACAGCTCGTTGGGAAGGGAGAAGATGTCAGGATCGTTCCAGTCCAGTTGAGTATGTTTATGAACCATGCTTCTTTTGGTGTCCAGGTATGGTACCGGTGTGGGGTGCTTGTGGTGAAAATGATGCTATGTATGGTGATGGTGATGGCCTGCTAGGTGGCTGCAAGTGATCGCCGTGCCTCACTAGGTGCCTCAGGGCGGTGAGATCGCTTCACCAGGGCCGCGCGTCCTCAGCACTGCCACCACCTCGCTGAACCGGGCGGGTAACCGCGGAGCGGAGCCGGTAAGCGGATTATAAAGGTCACTCTGCCTACTCCCCTCTCTCCCTAATTACTCTCTCTTTGTCTCCTACCTCTCCTTTGCGAGATAACAAGCACAACTCACTGCATACATCACACACACTTTGCATATACTGCAATTTCACACAATTTCGTTGAAAGACAGCCACCGTTTCTTACTTGTCGACTCCTTATCACTCACACGACCATGCCTGCCAAGCGTCGTTGTCAGGTGCGCTTATCATCTCTTATATGCACCGTGCATAATACTGAGACACATCATAGTTCACAGGCTGCACATCCGCAGCACTCCGTATGATTGGCGAATGCCCGAACTGCTCTTTGAACTTCTGCGCATCTGTACGCCCCCCCTACCAAGTTGACGAAACACTTACTAACCCCCTATCCCCTGATAGCACCGACTCCCGGAAGACCACATCTGCCCGAAACTGAGCGACTGCCGTCAGCAAGCGTTCGAGAGAAACAAAGCTCGTCTAGAGTCGGAGCGGACGGTGGCGAACAAGATGGGCACAGCGCAGTCATGAATCGTACGTGGGCGGGGGAGGCTGACGCGGCGGGCTGGGAAGGGGAGGTGGAGCAGACGGCGAGAAGGAGTGGGTGTGAGCATGAGTGGTCGTGGATGTGGCCGTGGAGGTCGGTGCCAGCTCGGCGAGTTTCTTGCGCCCGTTTGAGCCGGCCGCTCGTGTCGGCCTGCCAGCAGTCCTTCCTTCATCCTTGCATGCCCGCTCTCCTTCCACACACACTCTTGCACCCCATCCTCTCCCTCCCTCCTGTTCCTGCATTCCCTGCCCTCTCCGACCGGACCTGGACCATACACCGCATACCACTTCCTCACACATTCCCGTATTCTTAATTTATCATTCTCTCCTCTCTTGTTCAAGTTGTGTACGATGCCAATGATGTTGTACAATCTCTTTTTTGGAGTGGAAGCGTGTATAGCACACGTCTGACCGAGCCAGCGCGCGCCCTTAATGTGTTCAGGTATACATAGAAGGCGCACATTACGTCTCGCACATGTAAACAACGTGTCCTACATGTCCTCAAAGAGAGGAGAAGGGGTAAAAGGGTCGAGTCGTAATACCTTCACCCAATTGGTTGCCCTGAGCGTTTCCCACCCCGGATTCTCAAAGGGCTGCAATCCACATCTAGGAATAGGGTGCGGGCCGCCTTTGCGTGAGGGTGGCAGATGCCGTTACACTGGTACAACGAGTGTTAGACTGACAATTTACTACTGCGACGCCGACGACGACGGCGAGCGTTGCTTGCATCTTGACGTTCTCCTCTATCATTATAATTACTCGTTGCTTGACGTGTCCTTCTGTACGTGGATAGGAGCATACCCCACACTCGAGAGTACCCCGCTCTCCTGACCGGTTATTATCAGAATCAGGTGCGCTCATCTCATCACTCCATTTCCTCCCCTCTCTGAACTTGCGTTGGGAACATCTATATCCCCCCTTCTGTTCTCTCGTCGTCCACAGTGTTCTCCATCTCGCGTACGACGTCCAACGTCCCGCGTTCTGCAACTTATTGTTCACCCTTGCCATCATATTTACGTTCACCCGGTACTGACTATGTCTCAACGATTGCAACAGCTCGCAGCGCATCTTGCACCTCGACCAAACATGTCTCGTACGTCCCCTCTTCCATAGTGAACTACCGCTGACGTTGGCCTTTTTATCATCCTTCATCCATCCGGTCGCTAATTCGTTCACTCATGCGCACACTTGCTACCACTCGCTCACCACAGAAGCCCTCTTCTCCCAAGTGCCCCTTGCACCGCCCGACAGCATCCTTCAGCTTCCAATTCGCTACAAAGCCGACCCAGCAAAACAGAAGATCAACCTCTCCGTCGGTGCGTACAGGGACGATGCCGGCAACCCTTGGGTCTTGCCTGTTGTCAAGAAGGTGTGTCTGCGCGTGCTGTGTGAACACGGGCTATGGGCTGACATGGTGCAGGCAACGGAGATCATGCTCAGTGATCCGGCGATGGACCATGAATACTTGCCTATAGTCGGCTTGCAAGAGTTTACGAGCGCTGCAGCAAAGTTGATCCTCGGCGCCGACAGCATAGCGCTCAAGGAGGACCGTGTTGTCAGGTCTGTCCCTTCTTCATGCGCATACATGAGCTCATCCTACTCCGGTACAGCATCCAAACCCTCTCCGGCACCGGGGCGAACCACGTCGGCGCGCTCTTCCTCTCTCGGTTCTATGCCTGGAACGGCCCTCGCCAGCTGTACATTTCCAACCCGACCTGGGGCAACCACAAGAGCATCATGATCAACGTCGGGATCACGCCTGTCGACTACCCGTACTACGACGCTGCGACGATCTCGCTCAACCTGGAGGGGATGCTCTCTGCCCTGCGGGCCGCCCCGGAACGATCGGTGATCCTCCTCCACGCTTGTGCACATAACCCCACTGGCGTCGACCCTACCCAGCCTCAGTGGGCACAGATCGCAGATGTCATGCTCCAGAAAGCGCATTATGCGTTCTTTGACTGTGCCTACCAGGGGTTCGCGAGCGGTGACTTGGATAGGGACGCCGCCGCGGTGAGATACTTCGAGAAGCGTGGGGTGCCGATGCTCGTCTGCCAGGTACGTTCAGCCAGCGCATGCACTGTACTCCTCCGAGGAGAGAAGACTAACAGCCTACGGCAGAGCTTTGCCAAGAATGCGGGGCTGTACGGTGAGCGCGTCGGGGCGCTCCACGTTCTCTGTGCGGACAAGGACGAAGCCACACGCGTGAGGAGCCAGCTGTCCATCATCGAGCGTGCCGAGATCAGTAATCCACCCGCGTACGGTGCGAGGCTCGTACGTCCCCTATCAATCGTTCGATAAGCCCTCCCTGACCCGCAATAGATGGCGAAGATAATCAATGATCCTGCACTCTTCAGTCAATGGAACGAGGATATCAAGACCATGGCCGAGCGGATCATCTCCATGCGCCAGGAGCTCTACGACCTCCTGACTAAGGAGCTGCATACCCCCGGAAGCTGGGAACACATCACTACCCAGATCGGGATGTTCAGCTTCACAGGGCTCAATGCGGCCCAAGTACAGATCATGATCGAGCGTGGACATGTGTACATGACGGCTGATGGGAGGATCTCAATGGCTGGCCTTAACTCGAGCAATATCCACTATTTCGCAGAGGTGTTGGATAAGGTCGTCCGGGGTCAGTTATAGACCTCTCCATGTCACCCTTGTCCCCGCCAGAGTCTTGTAACTTGTGGTTCAGTAGGAAAGCAACACCGCTCAATAGAATCGATATAGAATTGTAGCTTTATGTACCACCCGTCCTAGCACGCCTGCAAAGGTGCACACCGCCGGGTCCAGCACCCAAAAAAACCAAATGCCGTTGAACGATCTACATACATGCGCAGATACGAATGAATTGACCATGCCAGCACTTGCAGCCTAAAATGCAGGTTGTAGATGGTTCATGCCTCTACAGCGTGGAGGGCGCCAGGCCAGATATGTCCGCCGACCGTGCCCTGCCTTCGTAGATTAGCTCAGCCATGCATTTCCCTGTGCCCGGACCGTGATTCAGTCCCCAAACATTGTGTCCCGAGGCGACCCACAAGCCCTTATCGAGCTGACCGATGACGGGATTCCCTCCCCGGGGAGGGTTGGGCCGGAAACAAGCCTGCTGAACTTCGATCGTCGCGTCCTTGAATCGGGTCGGAGAGATCACGTTCATGTACTCTACCAGGCGTTCCACGGCTCGAGTAGAGGGGCCCACCTCCTTTGCCCGTGTGGGTAGGCCGACGCCGTCCCCAGTCCCGGCACCGCAGATGTACACTGTCCCGTCTGGGCGGGGGAAAACTTCGGGACTGCCATACCGACCGTCGGGCATACGGATGGAGGAGAAGAGTGCCTGGGGGGGGATCGTTGCGTCGCTCGGCGGGCGCATGATGATCGACGTGGAGGCCTCACTGGAGAGAGTCAGCGGGTGTATTTGGCCTCACACGGGTACGAACCTCGGAACGATGCCTCCTGCGGCACCGGCCCTCCTACCTAGCAACTTCTTTGCTAACGTGCCCGTCCACGGCCCGGCAGCGAAGACGATATCCGTGGCTGGGAAGGCGAAAGTCTCGCCCTGCTCGTTGCTTGCACGCAGCCCTCGAGGGGAACCATCATCCGCGAACTCGATCCCATCCACTAGGGCGATTGTTATCTGCACGCCTGCTTCCCTGCATTTATCGGCAAGGAACGTGGTCATGGGATATGGCGTGACTTGTGCAGTGGTCCTCACATCCCCGATCACACTGCGCATGGGTTAGGGAAATGCCTCCACCATCATGCACGTCGGCGCACCTGATGTCCTCGACCTTTCCAAGCCACTCGGAGCCGTCTAGTGACTTTGTCTTCTTGCTAGCGGGGCCAGTAGCATTGATCTCGAGATTGAGGGTCTTGACACGGCGGTATCCCCACAACTGTGCGGAAAAAGCCGGTCGAAGCGCACCCAACGAAGGCAAATTGACAGCACACACCTGGTCCCCGCCGTACTCCCTCGCTAACTCTTCATGTAAGCGGAACGACAGTCGCCCGAGAGAGGCTGTATATGGCTGATGCCAATCCTCCGCCAAGAAGCCACCCCCTTTTCCAGACGAACTGTGAACGAATCCGCTCAATCGGCGCCCGTCCGAAAATAAGAGAATCCTCGTCACTCACCCGGCGGCAATGTGACTCGCTTCGACGATATGTATGGCTACGTTGGCAGGATTGTACTGTGTATTGTTGAATGAGCGTCGTATCTCATGGTGTCATGAGATGGGCTGCTCACGGCAGGATGGCGAGTCAAATAGTAACTGTAGGGTCCGATTAGCCAAGGGTTCCCCCATCTGAGCGTTGCCCCGAATGGAACACTCACGCCGTCGAAGTGCCGATTATACCACCTCTTTATATCGTTGTCAGTGCCTTGGACGACGACCAGACAGCTGTGGACGACGTACCCAATGATAACAATCGAGCGAGACATGGTGGTTGTCGTCCGTAAGTTAGCTGTACCGTACTATAATGCTGGAAGCCTCCGGGTTAACGGAGCGGCTTGATTACCAGATGAGGATAGCGTACCGCCATTGCGGTGACCGTTCAGTCGGTCATCCCCCGGAAAGTTGCGAGATATTCGCACTTTTCCGGCCGCGGACACTTTAAACGTAATGCGGCCCTTCGCATAGAGCACCTTTTGAGCTAAATGGGCTTAAGCATTGCTTTGTCTATCGTAGGAAATCAACAACTACGTTTCATATGTCGCAAACATGCCACATCCGCTGGCAGCTTCTGCTTCACTCGCAAATTTCCTCGGAAATACAGAGGCAATTCCATACAAATCTACCATACGATCCATTTAAAAAAATTAAAGTATTACGGAAAGATATACAGTATAAGGCAAACGTCATCAGAGCTGCTCACACTCGAGACTCGTCGAAGTATATCCCCGTCTTCCGTTGTTCACTGTCTTTTAACCCTAAATCAGACACGGAATCGCGTGCCGGACTGGGATCGGTGTGATATTGCCGATGAACTTCGACTGAGATCACTTGCATGGGGTGAGATTGGTTCGTCAGACCACCAGAGATGCGGCCGCTTGTTTCAGGCGCGGTGGGGGTGCCCTTCGTGCGCACGCGGATAACAAGGAGGCAATAAGTGATGCCGATTGCAGGGTTGATCTACACATGTCGTTAGAAGGTTGTTCCACCTGACCGACCAAGAGAGGCACTCACACAGTCGACTAGAACGTACTCCGATGGACTGGTCGCAACGTACGTCATGAGCCAAACGAATACGGTAGTGCCTGTATATGATTCCAGATTCCAAGATAATGGCAATAACGGATCGAAGCGTTCTACCGCCTGAGCCCGAGATGCTAGAGTTGACTTTCCAGATCCGATATACGATGAGAGACGTTACCAGTAAGTTTTGAAAGAGTGTGATGGCCAGGACGGCCGTGATCCAGGGAGCAATTGACGGTCCGAAGATACCGTCGGGTCCTTCAGGAGAGAGCGCAATGCCTCTAAGTAGCAGGATGATGAGAGCTATATGGAGCATGAGAATCCCACGAACGCAGCTTGATCCGCGCACTGACCAACGCATGTCAATAAGAGGATGATTGGTGCAGCAACCACCCACAATTGCCTTTTCCAGACGATCCAACAGTGATAGATCTGCACTTCTAATATGAGTGGGTTGGCAATGAGGGCCCCAAATTACCCACGAGTAGTGTGTCCGCTTAACCCATGTACGCGGGCGTCAATGTCGTCCTTGTCACCTCCTTCCATTTCGACAGTGAGTGCATCAGGATCACAATAGATGAACGCATCCTGTGTTCTGGAGAATGATAGCGCAAGGACAGCCGTGTTAAGGATGAACATCAGAACGGCGGCGACCACGAGAAGCCAATTGGGACGCTCCAGCTTCCAACCGGGTAAGAGAACGTGGAGGCATCCGACACATAAGACGAGGAAGACGCCGTACAGAATAGAGCTGGAGAACAGCCCGGCGAGCGTCGCATTGTCGATGTCGAGGGAGTTGCTCATGGAAAATAAGACGGCACGCCGTAGCCGAGCAGAGGATTTTTGGTCCGGGTTTGGAGGTTTATATTCCCTTGTAAATCTCCAGACCAACATCGATGAGCATGAGAAAGAACAGTTCTTTTCACTTGGGAAGGAAGCTGCTCCACCAGTTGTGAGGCGTTCACATTAGGATACTATAGAGAACAGGTCTACAGCGGTGATATTAGACCAAATATGCTAAAAGTGCGCCAGAATGTTGGTGAACTTCTCCCTCGCTTCCATTACAACACTCTGGTGATGCGGGGTCGCAGCCAAAGATGTACAGTACAGCTGAACGATCATCCGTGCTTAGAAACCGGACTGAGTTCATGCGCTGTTTTCACATCCAAGGCACCTCGAACAGAATCTTGTTGAAATGCCTGGAAGGTGAAGACAAGTAGAGCAGACAATCAGGTGGCATAAAGAGCAACGGATGGACTCCTTCTGCCAGCGCATGATAGGACGGACAATCGGGACCCTAGACAGGTGGAGGTGGTGGCGCCGGTCCAACACACCGTTCAGTACGCGGTTTAAGCAAATACTCCTCACCAGTGAAAGGACTCTCGTTTCCTGGGGCTCCAGCTTGAGAAGAAAGGAAACCCAGACCCCGTAGCTGCTCGTAGACGTCCTACCGCTTTGGCCTGTAACAAAGGGGTTTCAAGCTGGAAAAGGTGAGAAACGATGGATAGAATATAAACATCCTTCCAGGACGTCAATGTTGCCGAGAAGCGATGCTGACACTGCTGGGAACGGCACTCAGCATCGAACCGACAAGTTTTCAACGCCCCCAAACAAAATATGGCACGAACAATCGTATCATAGACTGATGGATGACACTCGTCATCGATGGCTACACATAGCAAGACCGGAAAACGCAATCGCCTCCTATACGACAGTGCCTGCATTAGAAGCGATACGTGGCCAAAGGTCAGCCTATGTCGAGGGTCATTACGTGTAAAACGGAAAGAGATTAAACGTGCACGTACGCATTCTTTTGCGACAGGGCCAGTGATGGCAGATCCCTTCATCTCCCCCTTCGGGTTCACGATAACACCCGCGTTGTCCTCGAAGTAGAGGAACACGCCGTCTCGTCTCCTCCATGCCTTGCGCTGACGGACGATAACGGCCTGCATGGCTATAAAGTAAGAAACAGTTGATCAGCAAGAACCCTGCAAGGAGCGTGCTGATGTGCTTACTCTTTTTCCTGAGCTCCGGCTTGCCCTTCTTCACAGATGCAACGACCATGTCGCCGACACCAGCATCGGGAAGCCTGTTCAGGCGAGCACCGAAACCATAGGGCTCAATGACGAAAAGGGTTTTGGCGCCGCTGTTGTCAGCGCAGTTCAGGACGGCGCCGACTGGCAGACCAAGTGTCAGCCGGAATTTGTTACCCTGAGCACCAGTGGCTATAGTCAAGGTGTATAAGCACTAAATCACCAGCGAATGCACCAACATCACGTACTCTTGGACATTGTAGATCTATTGAGTGAGCGTGGACGGTGAGCTCGTGCGAAAGGGTAGCATGGGTCGAAATATGTGGCTTGGTGCTGTACAGTCACAGCCACTACTAATCACGTGTCGTAGCGTAGCTTCTGCTTCTTCTTCGCCACAAGATTTCCCACGTCTTTTCTAATACTTCATCCATATACTTTACCACATTCGTTACTGCTGGAAAGTGTCGAATTCTCGAATGGCAATCATTCCCGTGCTGGAAAGCGCACAATTCATCTGTAAAGTAAATAATAATGTCCTCTTTTTGCATTCGGCAAGATCCGACGGCAGCAATTAGGATAACCCGCATATTACGATCAACGAACAAGCCATACCCGCTATCGCACGTGAACTTTCAGAGACGCTCAAGACTTACACTCCGCACGTCTGGCGAGAACAGTCGCTGCACAACATACCCGTCGTACCATACGATCCTTACCACCGTTCCACATGGGAAACTCTAGACTGGCTCTTCTTCATCTCAACACTTAATTTTTCATTCTGGTCTGATGCTGGCTCTGTGCGCCGTTTTGCGGTCGACTGGAACGGACAGACATGGGATGGTTACTACTCGCTGCTTGCAGTGGTGAAACGTGCACTGGAGGCCGGAGTGCCGATCACAAGTCCAAGCTTCTACGGCGACCCCGCGAAATGCTCTGATAAACAGCTGAGAAAGTTTTTTGCGCCATGCGACGACAAGTTGCCCCGCGAGAATCTTCCGCTCATGAATCAGCGAATCAAGTTCCTGCGGGAAGTCGGCGGCATCCTCAACCAGGTATGACATTCCGTTTCTTTCCTTGTTCTTGTGCCCTTAATCTTTCGCAGCATTATGGGGGTTCCTTCGCTGGTTTCCTGAATGAATGGGGTGAAAAGTATGGATCCTTACGTTCTGCACTACAACTGGTTCAAATGGTGGCCGACACCTTTCCATGCTACCGCGACCAATGGCCGTATAAAGGCCAAGTAGGTAAACCGCTACGCTGCATCTCACTCGCCCAAATCCCAGCTAATGTTCTCTTCAGTAAAACTGTGGAAGAGAGCCCAGATTCTCGTGGCGGAAACCTGGTTCGTCAAGAGCACGGGATTCTGTTGCCGTGTGCTGACACTTTCTCCAGGGCTGCCTTCCATCCTACAGACCCCAGCCTCCCACACCCCATTTTCCCCCACGGTATCCGCGAATTGACGATGTTTGCTGACTACCGGGTATGCCGTTCGCATGTTTGCCCTCCATATATATTCTGATGTCTTCCCAGGTACCCCAGCTGTTGATGCACTACGACCTACTCATCCCCTCTCCCTCTCTCTCGCTCAAGCTCTCTACTAAAGCTGATATTTCTCCTGGTGCAGAAGAGGAGATCGCTATCCGCGGCGCGTCGGTGCTCTCTGTCAACCTCCTACGGCAGGAAGTACAGCGCCTCCGCGGTAAGGAGTCGGACGACACGAGCGACGTGATGCTCGATTTCTGTTTGTGGGACGAGGCGAAGCGCCTCGAAAGGATGGGGGTGGAAATGCCCGAGGCGATGAGAGTTCGCGGTGTATTTTACTGAACTGCATGAGCGGCATCATTCTGCCGTTGACGTAAGATATGCGTCACACTTACACACCCTTCATTCACCATAGAATATCCGGATTAGATGGAACATCTTAAGTCCAATAATGTATCTGTGTACATGAAAGAAAGAAGAGTGAGCCGCATGAGATGTCATACAGACGGGTAATCAAGGGGAGGAAGTTGACAGGAGAAGGAGGTTGATAACCCAAAAGAAGAGCAGGCTAAGAACGAGAGGCATGAATAAAGGATGTCGTCAGCAAGAAACGTTTTCAGGTCATCAATTTCGCCCCGAGTCAAAGGAACAAGCGACTAGCTGCTCTTGTTCTTGGGAATCTCGATGGCCAGGATGATGGCGATGATGATCAGGATGATGACAATGATGATGAAGCAGATCCAGCGCATCCTCCGCGCACGGCGGGCAGAGACCACAGCTTTGTTGACTTGGTCAACGCTGACGAGACGTGAGCGGGCGGTTAGCTGGTAGAGGAGGGGAGGCTTACGCTTTCTCAGTATCGCGGTTGGCATCGGCAGCATTGGCGTTAATCACGTTGATGCCCTCGTCCTGCTCCTCAACAAGAATGCTCAACTGGCAACTATGTCAGCAGGCGACAGGCCTCAAATATGAGATACGCACGTCGTTAAATAGCTGTGCAAGCTCTGTGAGAGTCTGCTCGATTCTCTGTACCTCCGCATGCCGTTCCTGCACTTCACGGTACGCCGCGCGGGACTCTCCATATCGAGTGGTGTTCCTCAACTAAGACGCCATCAGCGGATCTCCTATGACTTGCAAGTCGGGACTCACAGCCTGAGCGAATATCTGTCCTCCTTGACCACCCTGGCCATCCTCAAGCACGGCCGTGACCTCCTCAGGCGTCGCATCAGGCTTGACGATCCTGAACTGCCTCTCCATCCTCTCCCTATACCTCTGGCGGTACTGTTGTTCCACCCTCTGGTAATTCTCCATCGCCTCCCTGAACTCGCTCTTGAGCGCAGCAGCCTGCTGTCTCTTGATGAGCGCTGAACCCTCAGGCCCGCCCTGCCTCTCCAAAGCCTTGATACGTTGCTGTAGCTCCTTGGTCTGCTTGGAGGTCTCATCGATCAGAGCGGAGAGGTTCGCATTATCCCGCTGGACCGCGGCCTCGTCTGTGCTGTTCAGTGAACGGGAGTGTAAGTCCGAGATCCGTTGAACGGAGGGGACGAGTTGCGAGCGAATCGCATCCCGCACAGCGCCGATCTAGCCAGCGTCAGCCTACTCGTTCACACTACACGAGGAGACCGCGAACCTCGTTGTAAAACCCGGACATGTCATCGCCGTTTTGACCGCCATTTCCCTGTATTCCACCCAATTCGATATCGCCTTGGTCGGGGTTCCTTTGTGCCTGTTAACTCACGGTGAGCGATCGTCCAACGTACTAGTGAGCGCTACCCACTCTAGCTGCGGCTAACCGGTCCATCGTGTATCACCAAGAAGAAGGTAGTGTGTAGATAATTAACCAAGTAGGAGAGAGTGAGAGGGGCTGAATAGAGCTGCTGCGCTTAAACCGGCGAGGGATGGGGATAAAGGGAATGGTTGACTCTCGGAAGCGCAGGGGCCAGCGGTGCAGATGATTCGGCAACAACGGCGCAGCAGGCGAGAGGTCAGCACCGGTCAGGTCAGCGCCGGCTATGCAGGAAAGGAGAGCGTGAACGGTGAGCAAGAGGTTGAGTTGGCTGTCCGCTGAGGGAGAGCACAACGTCTTTCACGGGAAACGCGGCTGCCTGCGGGCTGTGTGTTCCCTCAGGGTCGACAGGATTCTCCCCAACTGTGGCGTCGTCCCATGTGCGTCGGCTGTTGTGCTCGGCGTTGGACAACCCCTGAGCAATGGAGGGACAGAGAGAGGCAAAGGTGGAGTCCATGCATGCATTGACAAGAACAAGAAAAATAATAGGACAAGAGAAAAGAGGGAATTCGATCTGGTTTGTACATACGTTCAATCTCAAGCAGGAATTCAACGGGCAGTAACGCCTCCAGCGCAGTCAGCTCATCGCAGAGGAAAGGGAATACCACGGCGCGTATTACTTCTGGTTCTGCTTAACTTCGATAACCACGATAATGGCGACAACAATGAGGATAACGACGATGATGGCGAAACATATCCAGCGCTTCTTCCTCGCCGAACGGGCACTGACCACCGCCTTCTCCGTCTGCTGCAGCCCGATCTCCATGTCCTTCTCTGTCGAGTACGCATGACTTTGGATGACGTTGATGCTCTCATCCTGCTCTTCGACCATGACACTCATGTCGTTGAACAACTGCGCGAGCTCAGTCAATGTCTTCTCGATCCGCTTGACATCCTCGTGCCTCTCCTGCACCTCGCGGTACGCCGCTCTGCTCTCTCCAAGCCTGTTGGAGCTCATCAACGCCTGGGCGAAGATCTGGTCCCCCTGGTCGTTGTCCACCACGGCGCGCACTTCCTCGGGCGTCGCTTCAGGCTTGACGATCCGGAACTGGCGCTCCATACGCTGCTTGTACTTGCCCCGGAACTGTTGTTCCACAGCTTGGTAGTTCTGGATCACCTCGATGAACTTGGCTTTCGTCGCTGCGATCTTCCCAGCCCGCATCAGCATACACTCCACATCCAACAACGAAACACGCGCTCACCTGCTGCCGACGGACCATGGCGTTACCCGACCGCCCGGCCTCCCCTTCCTGCTTCTTGATCCTCTTCTTGAGCTCACTAGTCAGGCTCGTCGTCTCGCTCATGAGCGTGTTCAGATCCCGCGTGTTGCGCGCCGAGGCAGCTTCGTCCATGTTGTTCAGGGAGCGGTTGTGCAAGTCCGATATCCGGGTAACGTTGTTCTCCATCGTGCGGATCGAATCTTGCAGGGAGGAGATCTAGGCGCCCCCTCAGCCCTCAGCCCCTCCCGTATCACCGCGAATCATCAAGACGCACCTCGGCATAAAACGTGGTCATATCCTCCCCACTCACGTTGCTCGCCAGCGGAGCCCTGTCCGACGGGGCCAAAGAGGACATCTCGAACCTGCCCTGGCTCTGCTGGCTATAGTTCTGTCCATATGCAGTGTCGTCCCGCTGGTCGTAGGGGTTACGAGGCGTGTCGAGGTTGTTGTACCCTCCTTGCTGGGCCTGGATAGGGTCAGTATGTGCTGTGGAGGGGGTAGGGAGGGAAACGCACACGCATCGCTGCTAGCCTATCGCGAGACATCTTGCTGAATATCGTGTGCGTTCTTTTATTGTAGAGGTATCAGTCTGGTGCGGTCCAGCACTCCAGAGAGGTAAGAAAAGGTAGAATAATGTAGGTAAGTAGGTGGTCGTCGCTGAAGTAGAAAAAGAGAGGCGGAGTATCGCTGAGCTGTGGTCGGTGAGAAGAGACGGGCAGGGGGGAAGGGGCGGTGTGCTCTGCTGTGACACCACTCGCATGGAAACCCGTTGGAAGGGTCCAATTATTGAAATAATTCACTTCTTTCTCATCAACATACCATTGTCCTTCTTGGAACGATCACACTGCGTAATCCGTTAATTCGCCCTGACCGGATATTCGCAATAGAATAATCATGGCAGTTAACGATTCGATTGTCAACTCGGCTTATTTCTTACGCCCAACCTATTTCTAGCAACATCAGCGCCTCACCAATGCGCAGCGCTAATAGGGACAACATCCCACTCCGCCTCGGTCGTCCCATCTGCAAACCACCGCGCCTCTTCTCGGATCTTGACGTCGTTTCCTGACATCTGGCGTTTCTCCATCTGCCCGTTAGGCGCGAATGTCCAATCCTCTGGGGCGCAGTCAGTCCGAATATGACGGAAGATGGATCAGGTGGGTTGTACCGAGGCCATAACATCTATACCACTGGCTTTCTGCCTCGTTATAGTACTCATACCGGAACTGCACTGCGATCTTATTATCCGTGAAAGCGAACAGCTCCTTCCTCAGCCTGCGAATGCGGACTATATCAGGACCACCCGAGCACAAAGAAAGGACAAAAACGCACTTATACTGCTTTTCCCGTGCCCATTTGGCACTGAGGAACTGGATAATAGCCTCTCGGCCCTGGAGGAAGCTGTCCCTGTTCCGCCAGACAGAGTCCGGAGTGTACCCAAGACAGATCTTGGACGGATCTTGGCTATTCCACATATGTTGGGCGGCTTTGACCTGCGGTTTGTTAGCCTCCGAGCATAAAGGACGTGATTGGGGCGCACTTTCTGCTTGGCAGTCTCAAGCGTGAAAGGTGGGAAAGGATGCTTGGACTCGTCGGTCGACATGGTGGATCGCAGTGCTGTTGGAATGAGAAAATATCACTATTTCAAGTGTTGCTTATATGCCGCGTGTGCACAGAGGATACCTAGTCCTCGAGCGAAAGTCGGGAAAGGCCTGCGGTGGGCGCTTCCAATATGGTCCAAAGCTTGGGAATTCAATTTCACTCAGCTCCAGACTTGGCTAGAGAACCTGGCCGAGCAAGCCCTCCGGACAGCAAGATTGATCGACAACGCTTGGTCAGCCATTCCATTCCATTCCTCAACGGCAGGCTCCCTCCGAGGTGAGACCGAATTGGGGAAGGGATTACTAAATCATGAACTGGTGTCAGAGAAGCCGCGGACGTGTCGGCCGATCTCTCAGTGCAATGAGTAAGTGTTCAAGTGAGATCAAGTCATGACCATTTCGTATCGTTCCGCAACTGTAGCTTTGTGCACCGCGATGCTGGGATAATACTCCAAGCGCTCGGTCGGAGTTGGAGTCGGATAAACTGACACGTTCTTGAAAGGACTCCGTGACGTCATCCAAGTCCCTACAGTCGCAGCCCGATCGTGTTGTTCTTTGACTTCAAGCTAATCGACTATGGATTGTTTACTGTCTTGTCGGAGTGTTTGATTCACTTTGATCTCTGGTTGATCTTGAGATCTTCGTCGATCTGCGCTCGATCGCCGTCGATCGATCATCTACGAGGAAAGCTTCAGCACGAGATGAGGAGCAGAGGAAAGCCATACGTGCTAGGGCCGCACATCAGACTTGCGAAAAATGGCAGCACGATGCGGTTGCTCGCACGTCTTGCTCGGTATGTGTGTCCATTCGGCTACCCTCGAAGGTGGATTCGTGGGGGGATGTAAGAATCGTACGAGGTTGTAAGGGATAGAACGGTGGAGGGAGACGATGGTCGAGCGCAAGAAGCGTAGAAATTAGAAATCAATCGAGAACTTCTCTATAGCTGATCACTCTCGTGATCGGTTGGCCGCAGAAGCGCATACATGAAGCATGCATCGTTCTTTGATTGAACATGGGGCACTGCAGCACCGAAATCGCTGCGTCGTCTTGCGACCTCTCGTGTAAACCATCCTTTCGATCCATCCCCTCTCCCAGCAGCTTATTGTCAAATATGCCCATTACGGGTTCCTTTCGAGAGCAATTTTCCGACAGCGTCGCTGCCGAATACATAATCGGTGTGATCAACAGAACCCACGAGGATATGAGAGTACTGCCCTCAAGCACGGTGCGCCAATGACATCTTTTCGTTTATCTCTCCTGCTGACACTTTCTACAGCGACTTCGACAACTTCAATCACATCTACCAGTATGCGTACTATTGTAGGCACAAGCCTGTCAGAGACTGTGATGAGTGGGCTTTAATCAAGGGAAATGTTCTATCTGTGTTCCCATGCTCTCACTTTCGTGATGTGCCTCTTTCTTCAGCTCTTCAAGATCCTGGATCCTGGATCGAAGTATCCAACCGCTGCTCATGCCCGAATATCTGTCGTAGATATGGTACACTCCTGAGGATATCGGCTGAAACGGATGTGCTGGATGAAGCAACACTGAAACTGGTTGATCCGCGGCCATACCGGAGTCGACCGTTCGCACTCGAACTACAAGAAGACAGTAAGTGATCCTAATAATTGGATTTACCTGTTGAAAGGCTTCAATGGCGCTAATTAGGATGATCAATTCAGGCAAAACCTACACAATCTAGCATGATGTACGAGGCATTTGAACGCGTGACATACTTTATGAGCCAAATGAACAAAGTCGAAGAGTACAGGATCCCGCTCTCAAGAATGGTCGCGAGTATTGGCCGGAACGGTGCAGAGCCAGTCCGGGTGGTTAAGATGGAATTCATCCTCCTCACCCGAAGGAATATGAGGCAGGTCACGAGAAGGTTTTGGCAGAGGGTGAGGACGAGAATAGGGGTGAACCAGTGTGAGAGAGACTGTGCAAAGATGCCTTCAATCGAATCAGTAGATAGGTATATGGCTCGAAGGAATAAGACCATCATAACTGAAACCTACGTCAGTTATTTGTAGCGCATATTGTCAATCACACGTACCTTTACACGATATTGGGAGTACAATAGGGAGCGCCACAACACAGAGTCGTCGATTCCACACGATCCAGCAACGCCAGGTCTGCAGCATCAGATTGCCTACGCAAGATCTGAGGGCCCCAAACACTCACCATAAGCATATCAGCCAAGGCCATATATGCGCATGTCAACACCGTCCTTGTGAACTCCTTCCACTCAGCCAGAGGGAGAGCATTGACCGTATCCGAGATGAGAGCTTCCTGCATTCTTGAGTAGGACAACCCCAGGTGAGTCGTGTTGAGAACAAACATGATGATGGCAGCGACGATCAGATTCCAGTGAGGTCGTTGCGTCTTCCGTCTTCTTATAAGCACATGTTGACAGCCGATAAAGAGGACGACAGAGATTCCGTATAGAATACAGCGTAGAAGGAGGCCGGAGAGCACTGCCGTACTGACATCCAACAAGCAGGTCATGAAGGTCCAGCCCAGGTGGAAGAAACGCCGTGCACTAGAGAATACAGTCCTTTGTTAACTATGCTACTTCCTCCACCAAGCGGCGAGGCGGAGGACCAAGTTCCATATCTCCTATCAGATATCACTTGCCGCCCTGTGCCGCTTATCAGAAGGCGAGGTCCGAGCTTGCGGCACGGGGGAATGCCATATAAGAGAGCTCATCGTGATTTGATACATTGGTCCAGCAGGGCAACAGTTTTCATCACAGAGCCAGGTGTAACAAAGTGCTGTCAGGCGGAGAGGACATAAAAAGGCCAGCAGGGATGTATACCGTAGCCTGCATCAGAAGAGACATGGCAGCACTCGGGACCGAGCATCAAGACGGCAACATGCACAGCTTCAACCCGTCAACCCTTCAGCCTTGTACCATCCTCTCTGTGACGAGACCCGAGAAACTTGTTCAACTCGGCAGGTAGAGATTTTGTTTTTCGGTTGGAACAATTCCGACTGATGCCTCCGAATGAATATCGAGCCCCTTTTCCCATCTTAGTAACTGTGTTGATGGTTCTTTGAGGCAACAAATCACTCGCCGGGTGTTTTCATAAATGGGATTCACCGAAAGTATAATGCACTCACCGTTTCACCGCTCTTTCGTTTCGTTCCGGATCGACTCGTGTAGACTTCACGTCCTCGTTCGTTGAGCATTGTGAATCCCGGAGGGACATATGAGAGCGAGCCAGCGCTTGGTTATAGATTATAGCGTACGGCAAACCGAAATGGGCCAAGACGATGCGAAACCCATGCGTTGCAAGATTGCGTAGATGGTCGGGACAAAATTTGGTCATTGAGCCTTGACCGCCTGTTGTAGTTGGGTATACAAGAAAAGTAGCAGCAAGCCAGCAGTGATTCATACAATTGGAACGGATAGAATTACCTGGTGAATACACTGAAGTGGAAAGACGACTGTTTGGGAGAATGAATGCGAGGGGATACCATTCTTTGTCACTCTTTCGTGCTACTCCATCCTCCTCTCTTGGTGCACAATTCTTCTAGCTGACGTCGCTCTCTTGTTCTCGTCCGCGTATTGGTCCCACCCATGAGCTATACTGCCATGTCTGGGTCTTCCTGATGTGCATCTCTCTCTGGAATCTCGAGATTCTGAGCCGAGGTTCTGGTGGTCCCAGCGCTTCTTGCCGCCGTGTTCCTCTGCAAAGACGGATGCACTTCCAAGGATGCCAGCTGAGACAGATCCGGTATTTTGAACTCGTCAGGTATTGTTTCGTCGGCAGAGATACCGGGGTCGACTGTTCGAACTCGAATTACAAGAAGACAGTAGGTGATGCCGATCATGGGATTAATCTATTGCAGGTGTAAGTGACGCTATTCGCGTTGTTGCTTGAACGCGGTACTTACACAATCCACCATAATGTATGCGGAATTGGAATGCGTGCTATAGGTCAGGAGCCAAATGAACAGGGTGACAGAATACAGTATCCCACTCTCGAGGACGATGGCGATTACGGGCTGGAAGGGTTTAGAACCAGTTCGTTTATTTACGACGGAGTCCATCCTCCATAGTCGGAGGACGATAAGACATGTCACGAGGAGGTTTTGCACGAGTGTGAGGACTAGTACAGCGATGATCCATGGTGCGAGGGATAGTGCAAAGATGCCTTCAGCGGACTGAGTGGACGAATACATCGCACGAAGGAGTAAGGCGATCATAGCTGAAGCCTTCGTAAGATACATAGAGTGCATGCTCAGAAAGACGTACCAATGCATGTCAATAAGAGTGCGATAGGAAGGGCCACCACACGAAGTCGACGGTTCCAGACAATCCAACAGCGCCATATCTTCAAACATTAGCTTGTATGCTTGTAGAAATCTTGCGTGTGCCATCGTGCAACTCACCAGGAGCGTGTCGGCTATACCCATGTATACGCATGTCAGCGTCGTCCGGCAGAGTTCTTTCCACTCGTTGAGATTGAGCGCGTTAGCTGGAGACCATATGAAAATATCTTGTATTCTGGAGAAGGAGAATCCTAGGTGCGTCGTAGTGAGAACAAACATGATGATGGCCGCAGACGCCAGAATCCAGTTCGCCCTTTGGGTGTCCCCTCTTCTGAAGAGGACGTACAGAGAGCCAATGAACAGGACAAAGAATATTCCGTTCAAGATACCAAGTGCGAGGAAGCTGGCGAGGGTTGCCATACTGATATCCAATGAGTTCGCCATGTGTGAAAGAATTGCTGAATGAGAGCCACCAGTATTGGTGTAGCAAGCGTTGGAGCGACGCGGTCCTTTATCGACTGTGCGTCATCCTACAGTGACTGGAAATACGTAGGCATAGCGCCGGAGGCTGGCATCGGTATCCTGTGGTGGATATATTGTCTCTAGACCGCCTATCAGAAAGCGCAGCTGGACAATATAACAGAGCCGGAACAGGTTTGCAAAAGAGCAGATCTTGATGCAGCTCTAACCACCAACATCTTCTGCATCATGCGGCCGTGTGGTCAACCAGCGCACCCTCAGATGGAGAACTCTTGAAATGGCCAGCAAATCGTATGAGCCGTGCGAGGAATGTATGTGCGCAAATAGGCGCTGGGTTGAAGGGGATCAGGCGGATCAAAGACGCCATCAGACCAGGCACACACGCCATGTGGCGTTCGGCACTACTGCACAGCCTCTTCTCATGGCTGTTTCTCCGTCCAACGTCCTCTTCCCCTTCGGTATCTCCCATCACTGGACTTGAGCATGAATACACCCACTCCTCTACAACCCCTGCCAACGCTACCTCAACGCCTTCAGGGTGCGTATAACCTTTGCATACAAGACCAGCAGGTCGCCATGGATGAGTCTGAACCACCGTCTGGCGTACCCCTCAACGAGGAGGTTGCCGTGGCCCGCTTGCTTGGCCACTTGCTTTCAGAGCTTGCGCTTTGCATTCCGAATGGGGCGTATACGCTAGCAGCTGAGATCGAGTCGTGTGAGGCGCGCGAGGAGCGTGTTGAGCTAGGTCAGCTGTACGCTCAGAATCTCTTGGGTATCTGTGAGTGTTTGTCCCTGCGACAGTGCCTCACCTGATGTGGCTCTAACCCATTCGTGATATTCAGTCAGGCGTAGAGAAACTCCTGAGCCATCTCCACACCCTTCCCGTACTTCGTTCGACAATGCTGTCGACCGATATGCCTTACTGCTCCGAGAAGGAACGCTGGATCCCGGGACGGCGAAGATTCGAGTGCGTAACAAGTGTACCCTGCTGTCTTCATCTCATATTACATTCATAGGCTCTGCAGCGAGACGGTTTCAAGTGCCAAGCCACAGGGCAGCTCGATGAAAACTCGGTCTATGCCGGTGTGGTAGAGTGGAACGCGGATAGTGGTGGCATCTGTTGCACCACGCTATCACACATTATTCCACCAGCCGTCTTCAAGCATATTGATACCAAGGTATCGAACGTATGCATATATGGACCTTCTGGGCTTTTAAAGTGGTTCTGATAATCAGAAGCGCTTCCAGGCGGCCACTGGTCTAACCATTCTAGCAAGAATCTTCGATGATGAGGGCCTTCCGCTATTTGTGGACGGGCCATGCATACATCGTTTGGAGAATGTTTGGACAATCTCTTCGACTATTCATGACTCATTCGATCGCCTCCATTTATGGCTTGAAGAGACAGTCAGTTGCTCTAACTGTTCAAGACGCGCTTGCTAACTGTGGAACAGGAAGAGGAAGGGGTGTATCATCTGGATACCCCTCTTGGTCCTGCGGCGTGTCCTGCGGGGTGTCTAGAAAAAGTGGATCTTCGATCAAGCGACAGCAATTTACCGCCGCCTTCCAGGAACCTTATTCGGATACATAGGCTCTGTGCAAAGGTAGCACATATGTCAGGTGCTGCAGGCTACTATTGTATTGACTGGGATGACGACTCACCACGGATCCCTCCCATTGCGGCTGTGGATGTGATTGGTGGAGAACGCGAGTTCTTTGAGAAGCTCTGGCGCTTGAACCCTGAAGACTAACAATTGCATTCCGGATCGCACGTACTTCAAATCTTATAGCACATCACACAGGTACGACAAGTGTTTGTCACACTGCATCACGGAGGCAACCGGTGAGGAGCCGGTGGGCTCGCCGTCTACGGCGTGGTGGGCGGCGCCCTCACAGATATACCGCGTGTCATTGTTTAACAACCTGGACACCTGCTCTGTAGATCTGGACAGTAGGCAATTCCAGGGACGGCGCGATCTTTTGGAGGGCCATTTATTGTACGTTACCAACTCTACATATTGAATGATCGGCGCGCGCCGTCCCCAGCCTGCAGTAGTAGAATCATATAATCATATATCAGTACCATGTCATCCGCTGTTCTCGGAACTGGCTATGTGTCCAACGAGTGCCATGAGGAGAAATCTGGAGAAGGTCTCCTTGTGTCCCAGTAGCAGATCGCAATTCGTCCCGTCCTCCCACGGGGATAGTCTCGAGATAATCAGGTGCGGACACTCCAATTTCTTGCCCACTGAAGAACTCCCAAGCGATGTGGTATTACCTGAAGAATACATGAAGTGCAGATACAACTGTAGTGAAATTCCAAGTGAAGGGATACCGTGATTACTGTAACTGTTTCGAGGTGTCCCGTCTGTCCTGTTCTGAGAGGGTTATCGTCTACGGGATTATCGTCTACGTCACTGTGACGATCTCGCCTCTCCCGTCCCTAGTTCTCATCAGCCCATTGATCGCACGGATCACATCGCACGCACCTGACAACAACAACATCACACTCGACCTTCTCGCCCGTATCCTGACACCACACCCTAGTCGAATCACTCGGATCGATCCTTACTCCTCTCTTCTCCCAGAAGCTACGCCCAAGAACGACATCAAAGTGCGCCTCCTCGCTTAGATAGACTGGGCAGCTGACGGCACGCCCAAGTGGACCGATGATGATGGGCCATGAACCCAGGGAGACGAGCCCGGAGTAGCCGTACATGCCTGGAGCGGCGTTGGAGGGGATAAACCCGTGAGAGAGGGCGAATGAGCGAGAAAGGTAGACATGTCGGTAGCCTTTCTTGAGAAGCATGCGTACTGATGGATGTCAGGGTAAACAGCTTATGGAGTAGCGGGGAACGAACCGTTGTTCACTGGCCCGATACCGCCCACGACAGTCCTGACCCCATTCTCGGCGTGAAAGTCCTCAAAGCGCTTCTTCCATGCTGGGGTCCCCTCTTCCATATCTCCATTGACACTCTTTCCTTTCCCTCCCTTAGCGCTCCTGGTGCTCTTCACGCTCCTAATGCTTCGCGCCCGTCCATACCCAGGGGTAGATGGACGCGAGTCAACGAAGGAGGCAGGACGTTGGAAGGCATAGAATGACGGGTTCTGATACTCCCCAGCTTGGGGAAGAGGGGAGAGTGGGTCGCGTACGTGCAATGTTGGGGTTTGCGGGCGCTGTATCGTTGCTCCCGCCCCATTTGTTTGTCCTGCCACAGGCGCAGCACCCGGTGCTTGTTCCCCGGCCTCGGGCTCCGGGCCAGCGCATCTCCATGCCCAAATGAAATAATCTGCATCATCGTCCAAGGACCAGACACCGCCTTCCCATGCGTACTTGACCCATCCTGCGCCAACGCGCTGCGGATGTGGGAGATGAAGCTTGGGTGTGAGACGGTCGTAGAGGTTTTGGAGAGAGTCTTGGTTGAGTGTGTGTGGGAGGGTGAGGGAGTGGGTAGGAGTGTGGATGGTGAGGTGCGGCGGTGGGGGTGGTGGAGGAGCCAGGGTGGACGATGAGGAGGGTGTAATGGACGTTCTGCTCGATGTTTGTGTAGTGCCGTGTTGATCATTGCGGTGTTCCCCTTGACTATGATATTACTGGAAACAATCACGTGCTCTCATTTCCGCCTCTTCCGCGTCCGGCCAAGCCCGCATCACGTGCGTTCTGGAACTTGATCACAGCCACACGGTGATCCGCGGCGCTCGGAGCTCATGTCAACTCCGCGACGCTGCAAGTCATACGGTTTCAAATCGGGCAGCAGGTAATCGGTCAGCGCATCCGGTCGATCACTCAAAATGACCGCACGTTTGGAAAGGAGTGATATGTTGATGAGAAAAGTGAACTAATGATTATTGTTCGACAACCATCAACGGGCCCGACAACGCCACCCATAATGTCACGGCCACATCGGATTACCGTTTGGGTGGATAAAATTAAATTGCGAGGATGAATCAGTGTAAGATCATCAGACAAGGAATGTATGTGCCTCAGACTCGATCGTTTGCACTGCCTCACCGGTGTCGAAAAACTCGTTTCCGTTGTCCAGTGCGGTTGATGTCGGTGGTAAATTTTTATATTGACGTGATTGTTGTACTCACGGGCGTAGAAGGGACAACATGAATTTGCTCCGATAAGCATGGATAATGGAATGTTGAGAAGACGTGTTGCACATGGGTAAAGAAGAGGCTGACACCGAATCCCTGGGTCATGCCTCGCGCGCCATCGACCTCTTCGATCGCTTCCCACACGTCCCTGGCGCTCATGTCGTTGACAGAGGGCGATGCCCAATTGCTCTGATGGTCTCTCTTTGCTCTCTTCCCTTTTACTTTGAGAGTAGGAGACTAGCACTGTTCTCTTGTATTCTGCTGCTTGAGCGCGGCCCTACTTTGACTACTTGCTGTCCTTGCCGTCGACCTCACGCAATTAGAGCAGCGCGGACTACTAGAGCACACCAGCGCCGTTGATCACGGATCTCGACAACGTTGCGTTCAGTCAATACCCCCGCCCAGGTGGACTAGAGCAAGATGGCACTCGAGAACAGCATCTGGAACCTTGTACGTCTCTCATATCTGGCAAGTAACGCGCGTTGCTGACTACCAGCAGACGGTCTCCGCCATCTCCCCTATGTTCGCATACGACTTCTTCACGGGCGATAGTAGCACGGGTTGGGCGACGACCTGCACTGAAGGGGATGCGTATGCATGCGATGGGCATACAGCCCACGTTACGGGCGCAGCGGGGAGCATCAGCGTGACGTTCAACGGTACGTCTTATTTCCACATATATGCGCTCTTGTGGTAAGATCGATGGAACTGATATCGACACAGGGAACGGAATCGCCTTCTACGGGAACGTAACGAACTCCATGACCGTCACGCTATCCATCGACGGTGGGGGCAACGTAACCGAAGCCTTCGACAGCGTCAACCAAGTACTCGGGTCGGCACAGGGCCTCTCCTCCGGAGCGCATACAGCCCTGCTCAGCGTTTCCCCCTCCTCCCCCGCGGCACTACTCTTCTTCAACCAAGCCGTCATCTCCTACGACACGGGGCTAGCCAACGCCCAGCCCGATATCACCTACGTCGATGACCTGAACCCATCGATCTCGTACGGCGCATACTGGTTTGATTACCCAAACTACACCAACAGCTCCCAGAGCAATGCGACTGGGACTTTTCACGCGAGCAACGCGTACAACACTACCGCTTCGCTGAGGTTCAACGCGAGTGCTGTACTCCTCTACGGACCATGTTACGCAGCCACAGGGCTATTCGAAGTTGACGTAACCCCGGGACCGGGAACGACGGTTCTGAATACGACAGCCGCTGGCCCGCAAGTCGGCGCGCACGTATTCCAGAACTGTTTGAGGTACTTCGCCATGGGCTTGGATCCGACAGTGGAGAGGACGATATCGATGACGAATATCGAGAATGGCACGTATGCTACCCTGGACTATGTGGAGCTTGTCGGACTCTCCTCTGCGGGTCCTGGGGCTTCGGGCTCTGGTGCGAGTGGGACGACTGGAGGTGGTGGCTCATCAGGAACGAACATCGGTCCCATCGTCGGCGGTGTAGTCGGCGGTGTAGGCGGGCTATGTCTCATTCTTCTCCTCTTCCTCCTCTACAGACGACACCAACAAAAGCTGTGGGCGCAGCCCGAGCCCTTCGGGCCCCGGATGTCCCTTGACCAAGCAGACAGTGAGATCTCCCCCGCGCTCGCAACGGGCTCAAGTATAGTCCCTCTCGCCTCCGGGGTGGGCTCGGGGTCGGCGAGCCAAAGTCGCCCGAGACCGGAGAGCCAGGTCCTCTCTGTTGGCGGGACACCGTCGATGTCCCAAAAACAGGCCTTGATGGCACATTATGCCCTTGGTCAGCGAGCACGAGCACCGCCAAGTGACTTCAGCGCACCGAACAGCGTCGACTTGCCAAGTGCTCCCGTATCAGGCAGTACCCCGTCTGCGCCGTCCTCTGCTGCTGGTCCGGGCGCCTCAACGACTGCGTTGGTACCCGCAGTAGGGGCAGCAGGCGTAACAGCCTCCCCTTCCCAACCCTCACCACGAACACAGCCCTCTCCTACCAACACATCAATTCATTCGCCCTATGCTGCCACAATAGCCTCTAACGTCAACTATCATTTCCCCAGCCCCAGTCTGCGGCAGATCAGCAGCGACGTGAACCGGATTATCGCTGAGCTTTCGAGATTCGGGAGACCACCGGCACCGGGAGGCACGGGGGAGGAGGACTTGGAAAGCGAATTGGATCTGAACGAAGGGCATCCTGGTCCTGCCCCGCCGGCATATGATCAAAGTCATGGAGGGAACCAGTTATTCTGAACGTGTGGGAGGCGACGTTGGTTAGCTCAAGGACTCTTTGGTGCTGGGGAGGATGTTGGTAAACTGGTGAACTCTTGTTGTATTCATTTATGTTGCTTGTTGGCGTTGTACGCCCATTGTCTCTCTTCTTCTTCTCTTTTTGGTCACACCAGTGCATCTAATTATCTTGTCACTTATCATCAACCAACGTTCTTGCTCCAACCTTCTCTCCAGGGCACGTCGTTTCGTCTCATCCGTTCCTAGTACAGTATGTACACTAATACAAACACTTCCAAGGGAACTGCAAGATGTTAACGTCTTATGGACAAACACGGCTGGTGTCCAACAATCATAAATAGAACTAAGATCGGGCATTACGTACATTCTGCATGCACTGCCCCTGCCCCTGCAGGTAAGGTGCCGTCTGTCAAACGCAGCATAGCAACCTCGGCGTATTTGCATGAAGTCCCTTTCATCGGCACAGTAGCTGCACAACATGTAAAGCGGACAGCAGCCATATGAGAAACCAGTGGGAACTGCGACATCTTCTGCCGTTTGTACTTCAGTCCTGGTCCTTACGCGCGATCCCTGATGCCCTGATAGATTTGCCCCTTCTCTCCTTCCTTCTATTCGAATCTCAGCATTGTGCTTGTCCTGCAATTCTTGACCGCGTGTCGATATGGTATGATTAGGCTGAACACCATGGATCGGTCCTATAATCAAGCTGCTGGAGCCCACTGCTGTTGATGGCAAAGCTCTCCATATACCGAAACTGCCAATAAGCTGGGCTAGAGCAGGATGACGGTCGAGAATAGTATCTGGAACCTGGTGCGTCTTTTTCACTTCTTCTCATAGTGAGCAATGCTGATCGCCAGTAGACGGTCTTGGCCATATCCCCCATGTTCACCTATAACGCCTTCACGGGCGATAACAGCACGGGCTGGGGAACGACGTGCACCGATACGGGCTCCTACGTGTGTGATAGCAGCACGGCGCACATCACAAGCGTGGCAGGAAGTGTTAGCGTGTCTTTCAATGGTGCGTTTTGTTCTCTCCTCATATACATCTTCCTGGAAATGCCTCAGGGGGACTGATCTCGCTCACAGGGAGCGGAATCGCCTTCTATGGGAACGCCACCCACTCCATGACCGTCATGCTCTCCATCGATGGTGGGGGAAACGCGACCGAATCCTTCGACGCCGCCAACCAGGTGCTTGGGTCAACGCAGGGACTCTCTCCCGGCATGCACACTGTTGTGCTCAACACCTCACCCTCCTCCCCTGATGCTCTGCTCTCCTTCACCTATGCTGTCATCTCCCACGACACAGGTCTCGCCAACGTCCAGGTCGGTCCCTACGTCTTTGATGACCTGGGCACGGACATCTCCTATGATTCCTACTGGCTCGAATACCCCAACTTCAGCGACAGCACCGAAGTCAATGGAGCCAACACTTTCCATGCGAGCCACGTGTTCAATTCCACAGCTTCACTTAGCTTCGCCGCTAATGCTGTGCTTCTCTATGGGCCGTGCTCCACTAGTACGGGGCTCTTCAAGGTCGACGTGACCCCGGGCCCGGGGACAGTCATGCTGACCACGACGGCCTTCGGCACGCAGGTCAACATGTACGTCTTCCAGAGATGCCTGAGATACTTTGCGATGGGATTGGACACGAGAGTAGGGAGGAATATATCAATAACGAACATGGCGAATGGTACTCTTGCCACATTGGACTACATCGAGGTCATCTGGTTCTCATCTGGCGCTTCGGGCGGGGGAGCGAACGTCAGTGCGATCGTCGGTGGTATCACTGGCGGACTGGTGTTCCTCCTGTTGCTTTCCTTCCTATTTCTACGACACCGACATAAGCTGGCTGCCCAGCCCCAACCCATCCGCTTACTCGAACAAGCGAACAGTGACAGCTCCCTCCCGCTGGCGACAGGATCGGTTCAGGGAAGACTGGTCCACCCGAGGCCCGAGAACCATATCCTCTCCGCGGGAGAGAGACCATCGATAGCACAGGCGGCAGTCCTACCGGCGGATGCGCTCGTGTCGAGAAGTGCCCCACTGGTATTAGTCGGCCCATCACGGGGAGGAGGCACAACCGCTTCCCCGTCCGAGCTTTCCCCGCAAACACAACGGTTCCCCACAAGCTCTACCGTCCTCTCCTCAGCCGCTACGCTGTCCGCGCCGAATGATCTGTTCAGTCCCGAGGCACCTCTCCCAAGCCTACAGCAGCTTAGCTCCGACGTCAACCGGATTATTGCTGAGCTTTCCCGGCTTGCGCAATCACTAGCACCAGGAGACCCTGGCGAGGAGAACCTGGAAAGCGAGCTCGATTCGGCGGGGAGGGAACAGCCGGGCTTCGCACCTCCGGCTTACGAGCAGAGCCACGGGGGAAACCAATACTGATGCTTTCGCGGTCGGATGTTGGTGAGATGGAAGGATTTTGTCATATTAAGTTGCATTGTTCGTTCGATGTTGGAAGCCGGTTATATCTGCTTCCCTCCTTTTGGTCATCTCAGGGCACCCGGTCATCCCTGCCACCATTTTGTATCCATCATCAATCATGAACAATCCGCTGTGAGAGTTGTCATCTCTTTTTATCGTTTTCCCCAGTGGTTTCTAGTACAATCCCGTTTACCCCGCAGGATCGTACGTACCCCGCCGATCGAACGTCGTGTCTTTCACCACATTCAGCTGCTCCGGGGAAGTGTGTGTGTGGCTGCATGGGGAGGATTCGCGAAACCTCTTCGGCACATGTTCACGCCTCCCAAATCGTGCGCTCTCGCTCTTTTCGGCATATGTATATAATCCACAGCGTCTGCTTTCAGCATCTCATTAATGATGATAATATCTTGTAGCTCAAAATAGGAGTAGAGCTTGCGGATATGCCTCTGCCGATTCCGAAATAGATCACCAATCGGAGAAATAGTATCGACTGCTTGGCGCGTCGCGTCATACCGCGCTTCTCCACGCATGACCACCATCTCCATCTAGTGCACACACCCCTCGCAAGCTCCTGCTCTCCCCGATGCTCTCTCCATATCGCGGTAATTCATTTGCCCTCAGTCGGCGTCCCTAGAACCAGCTTCTCGCCCGGTCAAGTTGCCTAACTCTACCTGTCGAGATGCGTCACGCGTTTGCCAAATGGGGCTTGAAGACCTTCGACGACCAACACGTAGCCTCAGCTGGCGACTCGCCGGTTCTTGCCCTGCCTCTGGCTCTTCTGTCTCTTGCTCGGCCTATAACTCATTTGCGCATATGGTCCGACCGGACTGTAATGGTTGACCGTGCGGGAGAAGGACGGTGGAAGTCCATATCTCACCACTCGGATGGTACTCAAGTGTATGCCCTCCACTTTAATTGCACTAAAGTCTGTTCTTCGCTCATATTATGACTGTACTAGCTCCGGAAATGAGGCAATGGTTGAAATACTGCACAGTGCTGGCTGCACTGAGAGCTTTCGCTAGGGACAACCCGTCGTCAAGTTCAGCCCCCGATTTGCCATCATGGGCTCGAGACTCTCTAACCCTCGTGCTATCTGCACCTTCCTGCTATTGCTTGCACTAGCCAACTGCGTGCATGCGCTATTCCCTGATTGCCTTGCAGGTCCACTGGCAAACACCACAGTATGCGACTCTGCGCTGGACCCGCTTACTCGCGCCCGTGCGCTAGTCGGCATGTTGACGATGGCGGAGAAATTCAACAATACCGTCAACGCTTCCCCAGGTGTACCTCGCCTCGGTTTGCCACCCTACAATTGGTGGAGTGAAGGGCTGCACGGTGTTGCCAGCAGCCCGGGTGTCACCTTCGCTCCCGCCGGGCAGAACTTCAGCTACGCGACCTCCTTTCCCGAGCCGATCCTCATGGGTGCGGCCTTTGACGACAATCTTATCTATGACATTGCAACAATTATCAGCACTGAGGCTCGCGCATTCAACAACTTCAACCACTCCGGCCTCGACTTCTGGACCCCTAACATTAATCCTGTACGCGACCCTCGTTGGGGTCGCTCTCTCGAGACCCCCGGTGAGGACCCGTTCCATCTCGCCTCATACGTTGCCAAGCTTGTCACCGGTCTTCAATTCGGTGGTGACGATCCCAAGTATCAGAAGCTCGTTGCAACATGCAAGCACTATGCTGGATACGACCTTGAAAACTGGGGCGGATATGCGCGCTACGGTTTCGATGCTGTGATCTCGAACCAGGACCTGGTGGAATATTTCCTCCCTCCTTTCCAGACGTGCGCAAGGGACGTCAATGTCACTAGTGTCATGTGCTCGTACAATGCCGTGAACGGTATCCCCAGTTGCGCGAACGACTACCTTCTGCAGAGTCTGCTGAGGACGTATTGGGGATGGGAGCCCGACTCGGAAAGTCTCAATGCGCATTGTGAGTCGCATATTCTCTATCAATCAGCTATTTGTGTTTACCCAGCTGTAGACGTTACGTCGGATTGCGATGCCGTGTCGAACATTTATTATCCGCATAACTACACCATTACGCCGGAGCAGGTAAGGCAATAAATGTAACTGTGACACAAGCTAAATTCATGCGTTTTTTCTAGGCCGTCGCAGTTTCATTGAAGGCTGGAACCGATCTCGATTGCGGAACCTTTTACGCCGAGTGGCTGCCGTCATCTTATGAACAAGGACTGTTCCACCAAACGGATATCGATCGTGCGCTCATCCGCTCCTACGCGGCCTTGTTCCTTCTCGGGTACTTCGATCCGGCCGAGGGGCAGATCTATAGGCAGTACAACTGGGCGAATATCAACACCGACTATGCTCAACAACTCGCCTACACGGCTGCATGGGAAGGCATCACTCTGCTCAAGAATATTGATGATATGTTGCCGCTGCCTTCAACAATGACCAATATCGCGCTTATTGGTCCGTGGGCGAATGCAACCACACAGATGCAAGGCAACTATCAGGGTATTGCTCCATTCCTCCACAGTCCGCTGTACGCCCTCCAGCAGCGCGGGATCAACGTTACCTACGTACTGGGAACCAACATAACATCCAATTCTACCGCCGGTTTTGCCGCGGCGCTTGCCGCTGCCCAGACTGCCGATCTTACGTTGTACATTGGCGGCATTGATATTACGGTCGAAGCCGAAGCCATGGATCGGGTCAACATCACCTGGCCCGGCAACCAGCTTGACCTCATTGCGCAGCTCGCCAATGTGTCTACTCACCTGATCGTGTATCAGATGGGCGGTGGACAGATCGATGATACTGTTCTGCTCGAGAACCCGAAGGTACACGGACTGCTCTGGGGCGGCTATCCTGGCCAAGATGGTGGCACGGCAATGATCGACATACTGTATGGCAGTCGCGCTCCTGCCGGACGTCTTCCGCTCTCTCAGTACCCAGCAAATTTTATCAACGAAGTACCCATGACGGACATGCGCTTGCATCCCGCACTTGGCACTCCCGGCCGTACCTACAAGTGGTACAGCGGCGACTTGGTCTTGCCGTTCGGTTACGGTCTTCACTACACTACCTTCGCAAAAGCGGCTCTGAAGGACCACTCTCCCCGGTCTTCCGACATTGCCACCCTCGTTAATGAGGCGAAACAATCGAGCGCATGGCTAGACAAGGCATTCTTCGATGTCTTTGCCGCTGAGGTTACCAACACGGGCTCCCTTACTTCAGACTATGTTGCCCTCGGATACTTGACCGGCGAATTTGGCCCTGCACCGTACCCGAAGAGCTCACTCGTGTCTTACACTCGTCTGAGTCAAGTGACACCCGGCGAGACGCAGGTGGTCAATTTCGACCTGACTCTAGGCTCGATCGCTCGCGCCGATTACTATGGGGATTTGTACCTGTATCCCGGCACATATACGCTTGTGGTCGACGTCGTGGAACCTGTCGAGGTCGCGACGTTCTACCTTACTGGCCAAACCACTCTTCTGAATTCCTGGCCTGTTCCCAGTGCATGAGCATTTGACCGTGTTGTAGTGCTGCAATAACATCCCGTACAAGCTCTCTGACCGCGCTGTAGACTGAGTCTCTGCAAAGGTGCCGACCTTCGATCCAAGCAACTCCATTCGGAAGCCCAGTAGCAGGGTCCAGAGACAGTACAACGCTGCTCTGGCATAGAGCGCAACTTGAACCCGATGGCTGAGCGCACAGGTCTCGGCGCATACTTTGGGACTTTTTTCGGGGCTTACAGTGGTTGGTCAATACGCGGCATCGTGGCGACATATGCATCGTAACGTACTTTTTTTTCACGTCTGATGGCTTAGAAGGGGGCACAGGCAGTCCAGCTTTGCATTTCTACTGAGAATTACCAGTCTTCCTTGAGCGATCGTCTCCATCTCGCGATGTCTGACATGTACTCCCGGCTGGACCAACCCTTTCGAGCTTCCCCAGGCAGCTCAGGCATGTTGCCCCCTGTCGTACATGTGGGAACCTTTCCTTCTCGAGACGATACGGGAACATCCGGGCCATTGGACGACAACACTGGTGAGCTCCCGACAGCTCCGCAGTGCCAGCGGTACTCGACCCTGATTGGTCTGCATGCCTTCGCTTCTAACATTTCTCCGCGGAAACAAGTTCTCCTCTGTCCCCGCAAGAGGTTCTGACGATGCTGGAGTGTGAAGCAACTCTTCGTTCTGAATGGGGTAAACAGAAACAGATTCTCGTAATAGATGTTGGCCACCGATCAGAGGTTGCATTCGAGTCGACATATTCGATAAGATTCGCGGGTGCACCGAACCTTGAGCTTGTGCGACAAAGAGCCCGCTGGGTACTTTCCCTCGCTGTGGACCCCTAACGAGCCCGTTGCAAGCTGAGGGGAGGCCGCAGCAGTACTGCCGAAGAGATGTGAAAGTCATTTTTACTTGCTCATGCCACCAAAAGAAGACCCGCAGGTTTCTTTCGCTCCCACGCAAACCGCAAGCAGAGATCAGAACCAGAACTTGTCGACCCCGCTTCTCCTAGGAAGGGACGCCTCTTGCCTATCTAAGGGAGCCTGGTACATCTACCACAACGGACGACAGTTTCTCATGGCTCCCATACGTCCCTCCATCTGGCCACTTGCTTCCCTCGTTAGCAACTAGCAATCAACTCCATAAATTCAAAGTGCATTGGACGCGCACCGTCCCCAATCCATTCATTCATTTTCTGTACATAGGATGGCAGACTCACTTGCACTAGACGTCGCGACACTTGCCGGCTTCTTCTGTAGCGCCTTACTCTATGGTACGCTTCTAGTGATAGGAAAGATTTGGACTGACTGCATTACTCAGGAGTGTTCCTTGTCTTGTTGGTTATCGCTTTTTATGTCCTCATCTACAAACGGAAGACGCAGCGACCAAATTATATCCTCCTCGCCGGGTCATGTGGAATGTTCGTATTGAGTACTTTCACTCTCGCATTCACATATGCGAGGGCGCAAAAGGGGTTCATATACCTTCGCGATGAAAACGGTGGACCTATTGCGTATTTCGAACAAATAAACAGTCTCGAGGAAGTTGTTCGTACTGCCTTCATTTGCGCGTACTTGGTGCTGGCCGATGCCATCCTGGCAAGTCCATCTTTGTAAACTCCCCGAACTTAGCTGAATTATTTCTTAGATATACCGATGCTGGGTGGTGTGGACGGAGAGCTATTGGATCATAGCGTTTCCCTGTTTTCTATGGGTCGCAAGCATCGGTGCGTATCTGGGATCCAAAAGACGTTTGCAGTCTTGTTGAGGCCTCAGCAGTGGTGGATTGCATGATGATTGTGACAATGGCCGAGATGAATCCTGCCGAGTCGATTTTCGTCATTAATCTGGGCAAATGGATCACAGCAGTGCTCAGCCTCACGCTCACGCAAAATATCATTGTGCTCACGCTTATCGTGTACCGGATATGGAAAGTCAACACATCCATTGGACGAACATCAACTTCCAGCCTTCGACCTATCATTGCCGTTCTTTTGGAATCCGGCATCATGTATGTGACGGTGTGTGCGAATTTACCTGAAAGTCATGAACAGCTCTAATTCGGCATGACAGACTCTGTTCCTCTTCCTCGTTACATACCTCGCTGGATCCAACAGTCAGTTCATAATGGTCGATATCGTAAGTAGGCCTCATCGTGCCTGCTACCCTGCTAATATCTTATCAGCTCAATCCGATAATTGGTATCGCCTTCACTGTCCTTATCGTTCGGGTTGGCCTGGGCGCAACTCGATCGCAAATGGACTCAACCTACTTCCGCTCGCAGCATACAGGAGGCTCTCATGGCCTGGGTCCGATCGCTATCTCCGTCAACCGGAATGTACACCCTGACGAAGCGATGCTCGATGAAGATCATTCAGGATACAAGCTGGGGAGTGATGCAGAGCTTGCCGAGTCAGTACAAGGACAGTCAGAGGTAGCGTAGCGCAGTGATGGACTTTGTTTAACCTGTGGTTGTTGTCCACATCAAATGTTATATTGGGAATAAGCACATCCGAACATGGCGTGGATTCGACTCTTGGCAACCAAGGGCACACAATCTCATCACCAATAAACCCAATTCAATTAACGGAGTAAGGCGAAGCTCTTTATACAAAGTCTAGTGTGTGAGGCCATTGCACCACTTGTATAGCTCGCTGCCATTCGTTCCCACGATAGACTCGAGGTACGCATGGAAGGACTCGTAAGGGATGAGGTCAAGCGCACCCATAGGAGTGGTGGTCTGCATGATCTGGCCTCCGAGGAGGACGCGGACGAAGAACGAGCCAGACTTGGAATAGAGCTCAAAGACGACTTCCGTGCCCATACCCGGCCAGTACATGTTCGCCACTTGAAGAGCACCCATGAGAGGAGCGACAGAGCCGTCATGTGCGATGTTGTGCCGGTAGATGTCCTGATTCGTACCAGCGACCTTGCCTTCGAGGTGCGCTTTGATCTCGAGGATCCAGGCGCCGTAGTGGGTAGCGGAATAGAGAGTCGAGTTCTGAGCGAGACGGAAGTTGTATGCGTACTCCCAGTTGCCGAGACGGTAGACGGTGTTAGCGAGCTCCTGATCAACGCAGACATTGCTGTTGTTAACATTGCAAGGAAGAGGGAAACCGTGGCACTGCTTGGCAGAGAGGTTGTCGTAGTAGTGGTCGAAGGAAACGTGCCACCCGCCAGTATCGTTACGCGGGATCCCGGAGACAGCATCGAGCTTGTCATACACGGGAGCGGCGAGCTGGAGATGCTGGGCCCAAAGGGTTCCGGCTGCCTGATATCCCGAGTTGACCGCGCTGGCTGCGGGGCAGGAGAAAGCTGGCTCGAGAGAGTCGAAAGACGAAGACTGGATGAGCACCTGGTAACCGGAAAGATCGGGGTACATCGCCTTGATCAGACCACCGGCGACTTGGGATGTGATCACGTTGTTCGTGACGCGGTAGTGCATGCGGTTGGGATCGAGCTCCTTGGGCAGGAAACCGAGCTTCTCCTTGTACACGGACGCAAGGTCAAACCCGTGGGTCCAGGAATCAGCGATACCCTCCGCACTGATCTGACTGTGAAGCGATGTGTTCTGGGTTTAGCAGGCGAGTTGTGCAGGGGCATAAAGAGAACGCACGGGAACTGGCAGTTGGAGCCATTGAAACCCTGAATGGTGGTGAAAGGGTTGGATGGAGAAGTGAACGCTGACCACTAAATTCGATATCAGGGCGAGTCATAAGCTGTGCATATAACACCCAGACGCACCTGGATGGGAATCACTTCTGAACCAGGACCAGTTGCGTTCTTTCCGTAAGCTAAAAATGCGTATTTAGTGGGGCTCTGACGTTGAGGAGCTACGCACTAGCAGGACCCTCGCCATCACAAGACCAAAGGATGTCCTCCGCACCATTAGGGAAGATGTTAGAGCTATTTAATTTGGTCAGCATCATATTGCATATAGGGCACTTCAGGGTGCTCACGCATAAGGAGTCCTCTTGTGATGACGGTGGATCAACTCGACGTATTCGAGCTTGTAACTCGAGTCGACATTCTGGTACTCCTTAGCACGAACGTGGGGCATCGCACACCAGTTATATGCAGTCGAGTAGATATCATCAGGAGTGACAGACGAGTTGTAGATGCCCGGAGCGCCAGTACCGTTGATCGCGAAGGTCAGGTTGTTCCAGTTAGTGTTCAAGGGCGGGTAGTGGGTGATGTTCGGGAACGTAGCGACGGCAGAGCCGGCCGCGCTGACGGCGAGAACGAGCTTTGACAGGACAGACATTAATCTGATGAGGCTTGAGACCTGAGCAAAGAGTGCGAGCTGGAACTGGACAGGAATGACCGCTCGTAGAGAAGCCAAGGGCGACCACATGGGATCGACTTTATACCCTTTGGTTGTCGGTCGTACGTCACAAGTCGGGCTTCATTCCTTCTGATTCGACAGCTGTGATCGCGAACGTGCCAATCTGGTGCGCATAAGCCCTTTGAGAGACTGGACAAGATGTTGTACTTACCTTTTAATTGGTGAATACGAACAACGTCAAGTAAGGCGGTCTGTTTCCGATATCGAGGAACGTGGCCGGTTCGCACACGCGCTCTCTCCGGATATCCGAAAAGGAAGGATATGTTACGGCGGGGCGGACGTGTGGCTCTTGTTGGGAATGTTTATTGTTCGTTTGTGAGCATGCTGGAATGTTGAACGCCAATAGGGAAGGTAGGGATCAACGCACGTGCAGGGAAGAGCATGCGATGTCAGTCTTGTCTCGACTCACACGACCATCAAGATTGGTATGACTGCGAGACTGGTGTCAGTCACAGTCCGATATAGTCGGCATCAATGGTATAAGTATAGATCGGTCATGCGGTAATAAATCGATGGTATGATTCACGCTTAACCAGATATTAGATTTACGAAACCCAAAGCGCCTCTTTTCCACTGTCTGACTACGCCAAATGGCCATTCCACCAAGCGTAGAGCTCGCTTCCATTCGTTCCGACAAGCGTCTCGAGGTACGCATGGAACGTGTCGTATGTGACTATATCAAGAGTGCCTGGAGGGTAGTTATCTGTAAGGAAGACGCGGATGAACCACGAGCCGCCTTTGAGTAGAGCTCAAAGACGACCTCCGTGTCCATACCTGGCTAGTATTCATTCGCCACTTGGAGCGCATCCATGACAGGAGCAATCGAGCAGTCGTGCGCCATATTGCGTCTGTAGATGTCCTCGTTCGTTCCGCCGACCTTACCCTCGAGGTTGCTTTTCAGCTCAAGCAGGTATGCGCCCCATGTGAATCGCTGCGTACAATATTAATGTGGAGTGTTCCGCTACGCGCCACTTGTGCCCGTATTCCCAGCATCGAGCTTGTCGTAGACTGAGGCGACAAAGCTGGAGATGCGCATGTCATATTCGCCCCCTGGTACCGGAGGAATTCCCTCATGTTAGTCAGAGCTCGTGGGCGCGCCCTCTGAAGGGTGGCTGTGTGGTCTCATTCCGTTATTCCGTTTCAGTGTCACGTGCTTGCTCAGCAACCGCTGCATTGGGCCCACGTACAGTACAGACAGGTGCATCACAAAACCTTTTACTCTTCCAAGCTGATCAAGCGATTTCTGGCTAACCAGGCTACTCGATTTATGGCTTTGGCGTTATTCGAAGCTCATGATGACTTGTTGGGCCTCTTGGGAAATCACACAGTCGACTCTGTGAGGCTATGGGAGCAGAAGGAGTGGACAGGGTACATCGTAACGGTCACCGTCAACTTGCACGAAACTTTGCGAATAATCGACCCGGAACCTGTGCAGTTACAGAGCGGCGAGTCTATTGATGTGGAGAAGGTGCAGGGCCCGAGCATGTTGGCCTTGGTTTGCAATGTGAGGAGACCGTCTTCGTCGCCCACGCCCATTGGAGCGAGCTCCAGCTCCTCTACCTCCAACATGATACCAACCCGAATCGACTGGAATGCCCCTGTTCCGTTCCACTCTGCAACCTGATAAACCACTCAGCCGGATGTCGGAACATTGGCGAACCTGCATGTGACCTGAATGGTTTTTACGCTCAATTTTGTGAACCGGCCAGCCTGTGGCCTCGCAGACTTTGCGTAGTTCGTGGTCCTCCTGCTACAGCCCACCAAAGCGTTCCCAAAGAACGCTTTCTAATGTGCCAACTGGCATGTCAAATTCCCCGTCGTCGCACCTTCCCCAAGCCCCGATACAGAGCCCCTCAAGATGCGGATGAATGCCTGGTGAATGAACTGTTGGATATGGTACAGTGCCCGCAACACCAACGCAACACCAACATAAAACCCTGCGACATTTCGGCTATGTCAATGGACAGACACACTCCGATCGTGGTTGATCTCACGCCATTTTCTCCTCTCGACATGCACACAACCTTCACTACTAGTGCAGAGTGGCTGCAGCAGCTTATCTTGGTGGAGGACGTGGTACTCGAGCGATACGCGAGGAGCAAGGCCGAACATGCGCAGTACGACCTTCGCACAGGCGGTCTGCATGTGATCACACGGGATGCCGTTTACGGACGGGATTGGTCAGAGGACCTTGCGTCGAAGGATATATTTACCATCAACATGGTGTCGCATGAAGACTCTGGTTTCGACGGGATGACATGCCTGAGCGACTTCAAAATCGCCCGTCGATGGTCGTCAACGGACATTCCAGATTTCAGAAACGAAACACCAGGCCTTCCTGGCCGGAGGAAGAGAGGACAGAGCGTCACGGCGCCGAGAATCGATGTCTGTCCTGTAGGGGCCTAATAACAACCTCTTTCACCCTTTCCCACGCACGTCATGTGCCAGGTCATCATCTGCAGGGGCACGCGTACGTCGGAACACGAGAATGGTGCCTACCAAGCACAGGACAAATCACAGCCTGGCGAGCATTGGAAGAATCAGAAGGTGCACGAGATCCCTCACGAGTGCGTCACCTCCTTCGCTCTCCGCACGTAGAAATCCACATTGTGCAGTAACATGCTCCTTGTTTTCCCCGGTCTCATGTTCTCCGTCTTTCTCCCCCATCTCGACCACACGATCGTAGCCACCGCGCTGCCTACAATCGTCTCCGAACTCGGGCGTGCAGACCAGTAGCACCGACTACCTCCTCGCCTGCTCCCCTGATAACGACGTTCTATCGCGCCAGTGTGGGGACTAGTCCTCCAGCGACAGATAGTCACCTGTCACCACCCTCAACAACTGAACTAATAGTAAGAAAGGTGGGTATGTCAGAGCGTGCCAATAAGTGGACAAGACACAAAGAGGATCTTGCACTCTGTTGTAAGGGTGGAGCCGTGAGAAAATCATCAGGCTTCGAATACCAAGTTGTTTTATCATCTATAAAGATGGGGCCATGAGGATACATGCAGGAACATACAAGAGGTCCGTGAACCATGCTAGGGTGCGGTAGTGACAACGTATTTCACACGCCAAGATCGTCACGGGACAAGTTCCAACCCTTTCCGGCATCGTCGCCAATAGAGCGCATCTGAATGGTGTCTACATGTATGGCGTCCTCTACTTCAGCATCTCTTGTACGTGCTTTGTCGAAAGTCGATACCATGAGTTGACGCGCTCTTTCGAATGGAAGAAAATGTGATGTATCCCTTTGCCCTCGGGGCTGAGAGCGCGTCTGTGACTGTTGGGACGGATTGGAGTTGTTGGAGTGGGGCGATGCACGGCTGACGCGTATGGTCAGAAGGCTGAATGTTATGCCCTGATCCTAGTATGAGTCGCCTGATTTTTGTACACAAAGACAGTACTCACAATCATCGGGTTGATCTGGGTAGGAGATTTCAGAAAAGTGGTTTCACTGGGACAAGTCACGATACTCACTGCATCAACCATGATATACTGCGAGTTGCTAGATGTGACGTATGTCATTAAGAAAATGAAGATCATGGCTACAAAAACTGCGCCGCTTTCGATGATGACATTCAAAATCGGTCGCAAGCTGCCCATAGCTGGTCCACCTGCGGACTGGTTGATTCGCCATATACGGAAGACGATGAGCGACGTGACGATGATGTTTTGGGAGAGAATGAGCGAAAGGGCTGCGGTAATACGTGGCTGCAGAGACTCGGCAAACACGGTGAAGCCGGCGGATAGGGAAGCAAGTGTCACTGTTGTGAGGATATCCATAGCTGAGAGACGATATCAGCAATTGACGAACGATCGACCGAGCGGCACTCACATATTCCAGCGAGAAGAATGAGAACCGGAAACGCGATAACGACAAGCTGTCTACTCCACACAACCCAGCAGCGGTAGATCTAAGAAATGACAAAGTCAGAATCAGCTGAATTCCAAGGCCAGCCCAGCCTACTAATATTACGTCGCCCAGCACGGCATATGTGAGGACGAGTGCTGTCCGAGTCACCTCTTTCCAGTCTCCTAGTTCCTCAAAATATGCCACAGGACCTCCGGCAATATTCCTCATGAACACAAAGGCGTCGAGGCAGCGGGAAAAGCTGAGCGCAAGCACAAAGGTATTGAGCACGAACATGGCTGTCACACCACTGATCAAAATATAATTTGGGCGCGGAGTATTGCGTCGATAAAGCAGAGTATGAAGGCAGAGGACGAATAAAACGACGAAAATGCCATAAAGAATCGATCCACAGAAGAGTCCAGCAAGATTGGCGACGTCGAGTGGAAGCGAGTCTGCCATGACGAGCGGTCACCACACAGCTCAACTGACAGAATATGTGATGACGGGCAGACAAGGGGAAGGGATAGGCGATTCAACCATCATCGTCTCAGTCTTTGGACAGTATATAGGAGCACTTACCCGGAGGATCCGGGGATGCTCCTGATGGAAAGGGAGGAAATCAGCGACCGTCGTTCATCGTGTTCAGATTGCTGATGTCTGCCGAAGTGGACCACGAGGATGACAGTCCAGCACATTGCTGGCATAGTTCGGATATAACCACGCTAGCAGATGTAAGGGTTGAAAGCGCGAGATCTCAAACTCGGAAGTTGCTACGAAGGAAGTAACGGAACGCTTCAAGCCCAAGCATCATCCACGGCTTCCGCAACCAGAACTTGGCGCGACTTTCGCAACCAACTGGGCTAGAGCCACCTCGCCTCCTATCATGGATGGAAAACGCATACATTTAAGCGATGTCCAGAGATACGGCGTCTGTGCCACGTTGTTTCATCAGATAAACAACACAGCTTCACGCCACGGGGCACAGGAATCCAAACGTCGAATCGAACTCTCCGATATGTCGCGGAGAGATTGCCGAATACTGTCGAAATATGACCATCAGAGTGATGCAGGATAAGCAACGTGTGTCTCTCTCTCCCGGCACAGGGAGTCAGCCTGATGAGGATCGGAGGGTCTTCGCTTCCGGCGACTCGATTCAGCACCGCCCCATCACGTGTTGCCGAACTTTTGGCGCGTCATACTACGCGCGATGCCCGTGTACTGATCAAGCAGTCCGATTCTCTTGGCATGATGAATCTCTACTGGGACTCCTTTCTCAACTCCTCTATATACCCCGGTAACGCGAGGAAGGAGACCTGGATATTCATTTGATACCATCCACTGGAATGACAACCCCACGCCGTGCGTATCTTCCTGCCGTTCACATGAATATGATTATGAACAGGAGATACAGGCAACGAGTTGTTCTCTGGACCCAAAGCGATGACAGCGTCTGCTGATTCATCCCAGCTCCAGCGGGCAGATTCCAGTCGTGCAACTCCTAAGCGGCAGCGTACTCAAGAAGAACAGGACAAGTTGGATGATCAAGCGAGGCACGAAGCCATGCACAACTTAGTGCAGAGCTGGCAGGACCGATTGCAGCTCATTGCCCTGATCGTTCGTTCTGCATTTAAGCTGTCACGCAAGCACCGTTCTAACTCAAACACAGACAACGTTCTTTGCGGCCGCGGAGATCAACTTTTTGGTAATGACGACGGGGGATGATACCAGTTCTGCCGTCCGTCAAACTGCGAACGCGTGCTTCAATGGCGCCGTCGTTTTCCACGCATTCAGCGCCACCGTTTCCTTTCTTGCCGCATTCCTGCTTGTAGGCTACAAGCTGAAGGAAGCCAATAAAGAGAAGAAGGAGGTGGAAACCGGTATCGAAAGTCCCGAAAATGAGGCTAAGGCTGAGGAGGGTCGGATTCAGGCGACTCCCGTCCCCGCACAAACACTGAGCGCACCTACTTTGCCTCCTTTAGCACCGAGCCCCCCCATCTCAGCCGGGAATACGCCGCGCGCTCCGCTTACGCTGTTGGGTCGATCCAACTCGCCATTTCACAAAGCTTCGAACTCGGCCGGTAACTCCTCTGACTTCCTGCCTAACATCTCGATGCCGTTCTCGGCCAATCCAAGAATGGTACAAACCTACTTCTTGGGATCGGGCCAACCGCCTGTACACCTTCTCGAACGGCTGCATACATGTTGTACTTGGTCCGCCCTCAATGGATTCATCCTCGCATTTGTTGGCATGGTGTGCTACACTTGGGCCTGGCACGCGAGGGCAGTGGCTATCTTCACCAGTGCCTGCCTTGCCGCATGTGTGGCTTCTGTTGTCATCTTTGTGAGCACAGGGAGCTATGTTATCCAGGACGACGACTAAACATGCAACAATTCGGCGTTTCGAGACGAGTTCCGCCGCGCATGGCGATGCTCGGCATGAAAAGATCATCGCCATGAAAAGTGACGAAACCATTATATGGTACCTGCTTGAAGCATATTAACGAACACGCCCATGTCTATCTATTACCCGATCATGTACATATATCCATTGATGATTTACCACAGTCCAGCATAATTTGTTGAAAGCGAAGCAGCCAATCGATTCGCCCCACGGTTGTTGCATTGGATAAGCTACAGATCATATGTAGTTGGTCAAGTCCTCTGAATAAAGTCTCCGCAAAACTGGCTGCAAGTGTTGATCACTCGAGTTGTACATCGATCTCAGTGTGGCATAGTGCATTTGGCTGAATTTGCCAGCAGGCAAAATCCAGTTTTCCCACATAATCGTTGCACGTCTTGTCGTAAACTGCACCGGAGGTGGGTGGTCGTGTGTCCTCTCGCTTATCGTTATCTTGAGCAACAAGTTACCCAGAACAGACCGTAAAATCTGCATCGATACATATTGGTCCGTCGTGCCGGAGAGTTGTAGTCCTCGCAGAGAGGGGAAGCGCAGGTCGGAGTCTTAAACGCGACCCGAAAAGCTTCCGCGCTCGTGGCGAGATCACCGCTTTGAAAGCCCAAGAGCCGTCAACCCCGTCGTTCGGCCTGTACGAGACTGACGCCCGGCCTTGTCGTCCAATATCCTTCTTTTACGACCTTTTTGAATCCTGCCTGATACTCTGGAGTGTCCTTCTGTGAGCGAGCAGCATTGTCAACCCTAACATCCTGCACGACAACCATAGACATACTGCGCAATGGTGGGTTTCCACTTATAGCTACATTGCGATTTCGTCATGATGGAGTCTGACGACGCCTCTTCATCAGCAGTCAGACGGCATGGACATCGAAGAGAAAAACGGGCTCCTCCCGCTAGAGCATGAGGAGCCTGTGTCTGTGCGTGATCGTGCGTTTTCGTTACTGTTTTATTCTATCAGCAGCCCTAATCATTCCGACAAACAGACAAGGCTTTTGCCCTGAAGCATATGCAGGACCTTGGATATGATGTAGAAGACTTCAAGGTATACACTTGGAAGTTGACGAAGTGGCGCTCGTTGGACAGGCGATTAACAAGCCCAGAATTTGAGTGCGGTGGACATCGCTGGTACGTGACATCTTATCGGCGAGAGTGTGCAACTTACTCATCCTGGCTTCTAACGCAGGAGAATTCTCTTGTTCCCTTTCGGTAACGTTAACGCGTCCACAATTGACACCGTTTCGATCTATCTGGACTACGCAAATCCTAAAGGCTCTCCGGAAGGCTGGCACGCATGTGCGCAGTTCGCGCTTGTTCTCTCTAACATCCATGATCCGACTTGCTTCATTTCGAGCCGTGCGTTCGCTTCTTACTATAACAGCTTCTGCAAGTTGATTCACAGTAGATGCACACCACCGTTTTGTCGCAGAGGAGTGTGACTGGGGCTTTACGCGCTTCTGTGAGCTGAAGAAACTGCATCAAGTTCAGGAGAATCTAGGTCACACGCGACCTATCTTGGAGGACGACAGTGCTGAGATAACGGCCTTTGTACGTGTGTTGAGAGACGAGACGGGGGTGTTATGGCATAACTTTATCAAGTGCGTAATTCCCCGATTTCTTTTTTGCTATGGCGGTAATACAGGCTTGCAGTTATGACTCGAAGAAAGAGACAGGCATGGTTGGTTTAAAGAACCAGGGTGCCACATGCTACATGAATTCCCTTCTTCAATCACTTTTTTTCACCAACTACTTTCGAAAAGCCGTCTACAAGATACCTACCGATCATGATCATGCAACAGAAAGCGTCGCACTGGCAATGCAGCGTGTCTTCTATCTTCTGCAAACGTCCGATCAACCAGTAGGCACCACCGAGCTCACAAAGTCCTTTGGATGGAAGTCTCTCGATTCTTTCATGCAACATGATGTCCAAGAGTTCAATCGCGTACTTCAGGATAACTTGGAGACCAAGATGAAGGGGACTGCAGCGGAAGGTGCCATATCAAAGCTGTTCACAGGAAAGATGAAGAGCTATATCAAGTGTGTCGACGTGGATTACGAGTCATCTCGTACAGAAGAGTTCTACGGTGAGAGCATCGCCTCTATGCATAAACAGGAACTAAATTTGTGAACAGACATTCAACTGAACGTCAAGGGCCTCAGAGATTTGCACGACTCGTTCCGAGACTATGTCGCTGTCGAAACGCTAGACGGAGAAAACAAATACATGGCGGAGGGATATGGCCTTCAGGACGCAAAGAAGGGTGTTATCTTCCAGAGCTTTCCACCAGTCCTGCATCTCCAGCTGAAGCGGTTCGAATACGATATCCAGCGCGATGCCATGGTGAAGATCAATGACCGGCACGAATTCCCTCTTGACATCGATTTGGCTGATTTCGTTGAATCGGACTGCCGTGGAACCGACTCGTGGAACTACAAACTTCATGGTGTGCTTGTGCATTCCGGTGACTTGCATGGGGGTCATTACTTCGCACTGATCAAGCCCGAGAAGGATGGAAAGTGGTTCAAGTTCGATGATGACCGTGTTACTCGGGCAACCACTCGTGAAGTACTCGAGGAGAATTACGGTGGCGAAATCCAGAATGGGTATATGTCACCGACTCCTCGTAATAATGGCATCAAGAACAAGCGCATGACGAATGCGTACATGTTGGTCTATATTCGCGAGACAGCCATCGATGAGGTCCTTGCACCGTTCACCGAAATAGACACTCCTCCACATCTGAAGGCTCGCTTAGAAGAAGAGCGTATGGCCAGTGAGCTCAAGAGGCGTGAACGTGAAGAACAACATCTGTTTCTGACTGCAAAGGTCATCACGGATGAGTCCTTCCGTTTACACGAAGGCTTCGATTTGGCATCTTTTGAAGAGCGTAATTGGCCGCCCTCCGATCTGGAGACATTCAGAGTTCTCAAGCAGGAAACATATGCGCGCTTCAAGGAGAGAGTCGCTAAACATTTCCATTACAATCCACAAGATATACGATTGTGGCAACTAGTGAACCGCCAAAATAAGACCGTTCGCCCTGATGTTCCTATTCAAGAGCACGAGTCTAATCTCAGTGCGTCGCTTTTACTTGCCATCATTGCATTCGTGCTTGACATGACTTCATAGCTATGGAAATGGTGAGAACGAATTCTGCCTCGCGAAACGCAGAACTTCGATTGTACTTGGACTACTTCCCCAATGCTGAGAAAACTCGGCTTACAGACCAAGGCAATGCGCCAATTATGGTCTTTTTGAAATCGTTCGACGTTGCGAATCAACAATTGCTTGGGATTGGAAAACACTTCGTCCAACGACATCAGAAGGTTGGGGACTTGGTATCGTACATCAATGAGATCATGCACTTCCCTCCGGGCACACCACTGAGGCTTTATGAGGAGATCAAGCCTGGGATGATCGAGCTGATGAAACCCAAAAACACTTTCGCACAAAGCGAAATCCAGGATGGTGACATCATCTGCTTCCAAGTGGAGATCAGTGAGAAAGAGTGAGTGTTTTCGGTAGTGTGCACCCTCGATCTGACACGCATCATAGCGCACGAGACTTAGAGGAGCAGGGAAAGCATCCTAACCCTATCGCTCATTACGATTTCCTTCAGAATCGCGTCATGATCTTCTTCAAGCCGAAGGTCGAGGACAATGACCCTCATTCGACATTCCAGCTGGTCTTCAGCAAGAAGCAACATTACGAGACCATGGCACAAAAGGTTGGTGATCATCTTAGATGGGATCCGATCAAGCTGCGTTTCACGACCACCAATACATCAAACGGCGCTCCCAAGAACGTTCTGAAACGATCGCTCAATCAGACGATCGCGGAGATCATTCAGCCGAGTTATTTGACACCACAATCGACCATTCTCTACTACGAGAGGCTTGATGTCAGTATCGTTGAGCTAGAAACAAAGCGAAGCCTCAAAGTCGTTTGGACTGGTCTGCACAATAAGGAAGAAGGCACCCATTCTTTCCTTCTGCCGAAGACGAACTCTGTAGCCGATCTTGCGGACAATCTTGCGAAGATGGTAAATCTATCACCACAAGGCTCCGGAAGGATACGAATTTTCGACATCAGCCGTGATGGGAAGATGCAAAGAGAGTACAGTTCGTCGGACATGTTGGGCAATCTTCCAGAAATGAACGAAATATATGCGGAGGAGATACCCGTTGACGAATATACGACTGACGAAAAGGACAAGACGATCCATGTCTTCCACTTTACGAAGGAACCCGCTCGCTTCCATGGCGTGCCTTTCCGTTTCGTGTTGAAATCGGTATGTCGGGAAAGCACTTCACTCTTTCTGTGTTAATGTAGTCCATTCATAGGGCGAGGAATTCTCCGAGACCAAGAAACGGCTACAAGCGCGTTTGGCATTGTCTGACAAGGACATTGCGAAATACCGGTTCGCCCTCGTGTCTTCCGCCATGTTCAAGCAACCAACATATATAGCGGATGGTCTGTTACTCTCAGTGCTCAATAGTATGAACTTACTGATGCCTGTGCACAGAGGATGTTATCTACGATCACAAATTCCAGGATGGAGATGTCCTCGGCCTGGACCATATCGATAGGACAGGAAAGACACGGATCGGTTTGGGCGAGAAAGCGATTGTGATCAAGGGCTGAGCATGGTACCAATGGACCAAACCTCACCTTGATTGTGATACCATCGCCCGCCGTGCCGGGTTTTGTTCCTTGCACACTTCGTTTTGTTCGCGTATTAGTCATTCTGTACTCATGGGATTCAACATCATATATAAATCACGGTTTGCCCACAGCAGTAAAAGAGATACAAGGCAAAAGGACCAACAATCACGAACGAATGCCGCTACTTCCGCTTCCTCGATTTCTTGCTTGGCGTGGGCTGAGACAGCTTCAGCTAGACACAGACAGTGCGAGGGAAGGAACTTACGGGTTCTTGTGTGGCATCTTCAGCTTTCACCTTGACCAGGTCCTCCTCAGACTTCGTTGACTCGGTACAGGCGCTTCGCGGGGCAGCCTGAGCCGCTGCTGACTTGGTCAGTACCTCTGTCTGAGAGTAGCAATCGAGGATACATACTGCTTGCCTCATGTAACTTCTGCACTTTCGTGTAATGCTCTTTATGCCGTCCGTTCAGGACAATCTCATTTGCCGAAGCGAAAATCGTCTTGTCCCATCCCTCCTTGAATGTTGCTGCCTCCCTGACGACCTCAACCATCTCGGCCTGCATCTCCCGCTCCGCTTGCTGGAAAGAAGCCCAGAGGTCATCATTTATTGAACCCTTCTGCAAGAGCTGGCTGAGAGCTTGCTTGTCCTCCGTTAACCGCATGAGTCTGCGAACATCGGTGGCAGCTCGTTGCAGGAGTGCTGCTTTCAGGAGGGCATCATGTGGTGGTGGGTCTTGCGATAGGAGGGATGTGTAGACGTCTCGCTCAGGATGGGTAAGGAACCATGGCTCGTATTTAGCTGCAGCATTCTCTGATAGTAATGTCAGCTTGTTGGAGGTACATCGAATGTCAGGACGTACGTGCTCGTCGTTTTCGGTAGAAATGGCTGAAGATGAGCATCCCTAGGACTAGGACGCCGACGTATATTAAAGGCACGTAGATGGATGCCATGGTGAGGGTTATAGTTGATTACCAACAAGGCGATTTTTAAAGGAGAATGGATGCACGCGATGCCCTAGCGCTGGTTAACGGACGTGGCAATGAAATTCAGGACGTGGCGGTGTTTGGCCTAACGCGGAGTAATTTCCTCCGATGCCCCCTCTTCGGAGACAAAATTCCTACAATGCCCTCCGGAGGCAATTGGCCTAAATGCCCCTCTTCTTCACATGTGCTGCATATTTGCGCGTCGTCTTTGTGGCAGTGACAAGAAACTCATAAATAAGAGAGTTTAGGGGTCTTCCAGTAATATTTACATATGGTGTTATCAAGAAATTAGAATATATACTCCTAAGTACAGGTTTTATTTGAGGTTTATAATAACAGCAATGTACCAAAATGACTGAGATAGATTTCGCTCTTTGATTAGGCATTATTTTCTGTACTGTAACATCGAAAACTTGTGGGACCCCTGAACTATTTAAAAACTATGATTTTCTTTCTCACTACCACAATGACGACGCGAAGACGCAGCACATGTGAAGAACAGAGGGCATTTAGGGCAACTGCCTCCGGAGGGGCATTGTAGGAATTTTGTCTCCGAAGAGGGGGCATCGGAGGAAATTACTCGCCTAACGCGTCGCATGCCTTCTTTTGTCTTCACCGACAAGCAAGCTGAACTAGGAGGCGGCGGTTCTGCACTGGTCGTCGGCCGATTCCGAGTGTCTATAGCCGTACAGATTCTCCGATTGTATTCCTCTCAGCTTTAACGCTCCTGGGCTGGTCCCCGTCGAAAAAATGAACAGACTGGGACAACTAGCGAACAGCAGCCGGGGTGACACACCCGAGCCTGGGTTGCAACAGGGACATCGAAATACTTTTGGGACCTCTCATGGCCGCACAGTGAACGTTCAGTTACTGGACGACGAAGGCGATCTGACTCTCGAGGCTAGTCGCGTGCTTGTGATCGATTCCAGTTATGTGCTCAAAAATGTCTACAGTTCGAGACGTGTCTTGCGTTTATCTTCAGCAAGTACTGTACTCCAGAACCTACGACCCAGCCCTTAGATTGGCTTTCTGCCTCTGGCCCCGATCGTCCCGCCCCGCCACCCCTCGATTGGATTCAGAAAGGCGCCTACATCTCCGACGAAGCTCTCGATCGATGGGCCATCGATACCAACGGAGCCCCCCTGTCTGAAGCCGTTAAAGAAGAGATCAAGGACAGTATTGATACTGACGACGATGGCCACCTCACGTATGCAGAGAGATTTCTTAGGTGGGAGATGAACTGACACCGTGTCTAGTTTCGCGGGAATGTTGCAGATATATCAACTCCAGACATCAATGGACGAGGAAGAGACCTGGCGAGATCTTGCAGGTCGATTACTATGTTGCTGCTTCACGATGCTGACTTGTTTAAGGCCAGTCATGGATTTGATCGCAATCTGGAACTCGCCCCCACTCGACGCGAAGATTTGCAGGAACCCCCGGCAGACGAGCATGCGCCGCGTGAGGATAACGAAATGTATGCAATGGCATTCCTCCACCTCCCTCATTTCTGAGAATCCGTAGACATAATCCAGAGAACACCGCGTAGAACAGTGGCACTGGCCCAAGGAAGTGATACCTGCTACCACGATTACCCAGTTTTACGATCTACCACGAGCCCGACCCAGGAGATTAGAGGGATTTTACACATTAGCAACATCATAACGAGTACAGCCCGTAACAAATGACAACATGAGAATACAGCACCAGGGAGAGGAAAACCGAATAATTCAGTCATCTTCAGCCTCGTCATCTACAAACCTCGTGGCAATGTCCATGTGCTTGGCCTTGCGTTGTCTTCCCTTATTTGGGGGAGGTGCACGCTCTTCTTCCTCTTCCATTTCCTCATCGGAGGCCTCTTCTTCGAACTCCTGCTCATGCGCATCCTCCACATCTTCCTCTTCCTCCTCTTCCTCTTGCACTACCTCTGGCTCGACCCTCTTCTTAGATCTACGCGAATCTGGACCATCCTTTACAGCCTCCTCCCCAACCGGAATCGGACGCTTTCCGTCCCAAGGGGAGCTACACGTTGGGCAATGTCTATGCAGCATCTTGTAGTTCTCATAACAGTGAGTATGCATGCGCGTCTTGCAGCGCGCAATGGAACAGGCGATACCCTTGGTGCATATCTCCATGCAGATGGTGCATTCCAGTACTTCGTCCTCGAACGTCGACTTTAGATAGTTCTGTAGTTCTAGAATAGATCGTGTTGATAGCGAATATCTGCCTCGTCTACACATATCAACGCTCATAAGAATCCAGATAAAATGACTAGAAGATAACACGTACTTGCTTCTCAACAACCAGCCCTTAGATACAAATGCGTTCAGAGTGGATTCTGCCTCAGTCTTGGTCATTTTCGACGGTAGATTGGTGCTCTCCTTGATGGCAGCTATTGATGAAAGGGAGAATGACTCGGACGGCGCGAGCATGATACACTCCACCTAGTTAATCATTAGCTCCTTGTCCATGTTGTTTGAAGCAGGCCCACAATCAGTTTGAAGTATGCAATCTCGTTGGGCGTGAACTCGGTCGCCACCTGAGCGATCGCATCCCCCTTCGTATTGACGATCGCGATCATCTTCTGCTTTGTACCCTCATCCACAAGCGCACGTATCTCAAGCCCAATAGGGCTGAGCGCATTAGCCACCAGTTCTAGTGCATTTTGGAAAGGCTGGGTTGAAGGGTCGGTCCCTTCAGCAGCTGTGGGGTGTGTGAGCACGAGTTCAGGGTCGGGAGCGAAGAGCATCTACCTGCCACGATCTCGCAGGATCTTTTGTATAACTGAATGGCTAGATTTTCGGAGAGAAAGCGGCGCGATATTAATGATTGGAGAAAAATCCTATGCACATCAGAGTATCGTGCCATGTCGAGAGTGAGGGAGATGAAGAGACGGTCCCTGAACACGTATCAGGGTGCACTGAATGGGCAATGTAAGTAATTTCCCAACGCCCACAAAAAAAATGTTCGCGAGAGATGGCAAGTGACACAATCACAGCAAATCAATGCCCTTGTTCGGTGTATTCTATGAGACGTGTGGCATCGAGAACAGACCTCATAAGCAGGAATCGTCTATTATCATTAGATACAGTCCACGTTCGCATACGAAGTCATCACTTTCCATCGCTCATTATCGCCTTAAGGCTTGGGCACCTTGAGCGTCTTGCTCACCATGGCCGCTGCCCAAGCAGCGAAAATTACGCAAACATAGTGTACCTCTCCGTTCCCACCCGGTTGGCCCCATAACGTGACCGAACCAAAGGGCACGCCCTCCTCACTCGTGATCCAACCCTGGCTCGTCCAGTAGGTCATCAGGCCCACCAGCGCTAGTGTGCTTGGGATGGGCAATCCTTCGAAGTACTTGGCCTTGCCAGAGTCGTCTTTCGGTACTAAGGCAACCGTGGCATTGAACCGTGCTAAGCGAGCAAGACCACAGCAGGCAAAGAGGGTAAGAATGATGGTGTCAAGCATCGTTCTTAACCCACAGCAAAATGCGAGTAATGAAGGAGCAATACCAAACGAAACCTGCATCGCCGTCAGCAAATTTGTAAAACGTGCCACGCGTATATATGAACTTACCAGATCTGCCAGCGAGTCCATCTCTTGTCCCAGCATGCTACTGCTGTTCGTCCACCTTGCCACTTTCCCGTCCATAAAATCGAACATCATTCCAGCGAGTGGAAAAGCGAGGGCAGTGTAGAGATGTGCTTTGTCGTTTGAGAGAAGGTAATGCGCGGAGTAGAATATGGAGAAACAGCCACAGAAGCCGTTCATGATCGTAACAAGATCTGCGAGGCGAAAGTTTCTACGTAAAACAATCAACTCATTTAGGATAAAGCCTCATCGACAGAGTATGTGAACATACCGAACAAGAGTGAAATGCCCCTCCGAGTCCTGATACTGCTGCAGTGCGTGGAGCTTCGCCTCATCGACGAGCGGCTTCCTCTCGTCGCCATTTCGTTTCCTCTCTCTGACATCGACCATTTTAGATAATTGTGTACGAATTTCTTGAGGGGAATTGAAGAGGATGCGGTGCTCGTTGGTAGTGGCAGAAGAAGAGGGAAAGGGGGAGGAGGAATGCGCAGAGGGACACAGGAACGTGACGAGACGCAGCCCATCAGGGTCCGGGGGCTTCCTTCGAGACGTCATCACCGGCAACTTTCTTGGTCCCGGCGTGCACCAGCTTGCGCATGCGCCGATGGGTTATAATGCACGTGTTTTCGTGTGCAAATGATAGGACACAACATTCTGACCGTTCTGTACAGTAGTGCTATCTGTGCACCGCCTAGTTGACTCAAGTCGAGACAAGTGCTCAGCCAAAAGAAAAAAAAAAAAAAAAAAAAA